ACACTACTGTTTCACCATGTAGCGGTGTAGCTAACTACTGGAACTACACACTACTGTTTTACCATGTAGCGGTGTAGCTAACTACTGGAACTACACACTACTGTTTTACCATGTAGCGGTGTAGCTAACTACTGGAACTACACACTACTGTTTCACCATGTAGCGGTGTAGCTAACTACTGGAACTACACACTACTGTTTCACCATGTAGCGGTGTAGCTAACTACTGGAACTACACACTACTGTTTTACCATGTAGCGGTGTAGCTAACTACTGGAACTACACACTACTGTTTTACCACGTAGCGGTGTAGCTAACTACTGGAACTACACACTACTGTTTTACCATGTAGCGGTGTAGCTAACTACTGGAACTACACACTACTGTTTCACCATGTAGCGGTGTAGCTAACTACTGGAACTACACACTACTGTTTTACCATGTAGCGGTGTAGCTAACTACTGGAACTACACACTACTGTTTCACCATGTAGCGGTGTAGCTAACTACTGGAACTACACACTACTGTTTTACCATGTAATAATATAATTGGTCATTTAGCAGACGCTCTTATCCAGAGCGATTAGGGTTAACTACCTTGCTCAAGGGCACAGACAGATTTTTCACCTAGTCGGCTCGGGGATTAGAACCAGCGACCTTTCGGTTACTGGCACAACGCTCTTAACCACTAAGCTACCTGCGGTGTAGCTAACTACTGGAATTACACACTACTGTTTTACCATGTAGCGGTGTAGCTAACTACTGGAATTACATACAACTGTTTTACCATGTAGCGGTGTAGCTAACTACTGGAACTACACACTACTGTTTCACCATGTAGCGGTGTAGCTAACTACTGGAACTACACACTACTGTTTTACCATGTAGCGGTGTAGCTAACTGCTGGAACTACACACTACTGTTTTACCATGTAGCGGTGTAGCTAACTACTGGAACTACACACTACTGTTTTACCATGTAGCGGTGTAGCTAACTACTGGAACTACACACTACTGTTTCACCATGTAGCGGTGTAGCTAACTACTGGAACTACACACTACTGTTTTACCATGTAGCGGTGTAGCTAACTACTGGAACTACACACTACTGTTTTACCATGTAGCGGTGTAGCTAACTACTGAACTACACACTACTGTTTTACCATGTAGCGGTGTAGCTAACTACTGGAACTACACACTACTGTTTTACCATGTAGCGGTGTAGCTAACTACTGGAACTACACACTACTGTTTCACCATGTAGCGGTGTAGCTAACTACTGGAACTACACACTACTGTTTCACCACGTAGCGGTGTAGCTAACTACTGGAACTACACACTACTGTTTCACCACGTAGCGGTGTAGCTAACTACTGGAACTACACACTACTGTTTCACCATGTAGCGGTGTAGCTAACTACTGGAACTACACACTACTGTTTCACCATGTAGCGGTGTAAGCTAACTACGGAAACTACACACTACTGTTTCACCATGTAGCGGTGTAGCTAACTACTGGATCTACACACTACTGTTTTACCATGTAGCGGTGTAGCTAACTACTGGAACTACACACTACTGTTTCACCATGTAGCGGTGTAGCTAACTACTGGAACTACACACTACTGTTTCACCATGTAGCGGTGTAGCTAACTACTGGAACTACACACTACTGTTTTACCATGTAGCGGTGTAGCTAACTACTGGAACTACACACTACTGTTTTACCATGTAGCGGTGTAGCTAACTACTGGAACTACACACTACTGTTTCACCATGTAGCGGTGTAGCTAACTACTGGAACTACACACTACTGTTGTGCATAAATAAAATAAATATGTGTAAAGTAGTCAAGAATTTCATTTCTTTTTCGACATCAGACCTGGCTAATTCATCAGACCTGCCTAATTCATCAGACCTGGCTAATTCATCAGACCTGCCTAATTCATCAGACCTGGCTAATTCATCAGACCTGGCTAATTCATCAGACCTGGCTAATTCATCAGACCTGCCTAATTCATCAGACCTGGCTAATTCATCAGACCTGCCTAATTCATCAGACCTGGCTAATTCATCAGACCTGGCTAATTCATCAGACCTGCCTAATTCATCAGACCTGCCTAATTCATCAGACCTGCCTAATCCATCAGACCTGCCTAATTCGCACCTGAAACATGGTCTTTGTGTTTAACAGGCTAAATGACACATTCTGTTAACGTCTGACTCCAGAGTGAACAGTTCTTGCAATTTGTAGCATATGACATTTGAGATTTATATATGATCATTTTTACGAAGTAGTTTGGATGTAGTGAACTACTTTTTAAAGTAGCTTTAGTTAAGTAAACTACATATATATATATATATATATATATATATATATATATATATATATATATATATATATATATATACACTATATACAGTATTTTTAAGGGTAGATTTAGTGTAGCTTAACTTCTTCCAGTGTGAAGTAATTGGCAGCTTTGTAAACTATGTTTTCAGCGTAGCTTCCCCAACACAGCAAATCGACAGTTACAAACCCTCCCACATATCTTACTGAGCAGAGAATCAAAGGAATCTAACATCTCATTCGACGCAATGTTCTTTACATTTTTCAAAGCACTGTTTTTGATTAGCGATCCACTCAGGCCTTGGCTGGTGCGCAAGGTAGGTTGGTACACCACAAGCCCTGAATACTCCATCAGTCTCTTTGTCTCTACGTCCCAAATAGCACCCTATTCCCTATACAATACACTACTTTTTGACCAGAGGCTGATAGCTCTGGTCAAAATAAATAGGGAATAGGGTGCTATTTGGGATACAGCCTTTGTCTCCACCTGTGACCTGGTCCCTCCTCTCCTCTCCCGTCTGCTGTGATTATGTCTAATCTAACAGAACATGGTTTGGGGCTACAAAGAAGAAACCCACTGAAGGTGGAATATTGATGCTACAGGTTTCAGGTTTCTGTCGGAGGAAAATCTTGCTGGAAGGCTGTCTAGCATGCTAAAGTAAGGAAAAGTGAGAAAACACATTTTGTAACGTAACATTGTTTATATGAAAGGACTCATTTAACAATAAATACCCTGAGAGGTGACAATGTGCCATCAGACGCTGTGGGTCATATCGTTAATGTCATATTGATCAAGAAGGACATGGTAATAAGATGCAAGAAACGTGGCATTTAACAAAAACAAATGCCACCACTCTGTCGAAACGTAACTAGATGTATATTCAACGCGTTGAGTGTTTTGGACATTTCAAGTCAGAGTCGCCAGTGGGTTGGTTGGTAGTCAAATATATCTGGGGAGAATCTGAGGAGAGCGCTTTGGACATTTCAACATGTACCTATTCTCTTCAAAGGACCAGGCATGAATAAAAACTCACCTTCCACCGTCCAATTGTCCCTGAGAGTGAAAAGACTGTGTATTTCTAACTGGCCAGACAGACGTCCATTACTCATCATTCAAGGCCCTTTGAATCCCCCGTATGACTGCTAATTCATATTCTGCTTCGTTCCGCAGAGAGCGGCAGCCCTACTGGTTTATGCATGCCATAAATGTAAGATTGGAAAATTGAAAATGTATCAAAGCCCAACATTTGCTGCTTGACTTACCAAAGAGAAATGTCCTTCCTGTGTTTGCTATTGGCAGCTCTGTGATAAAGGAGGACTGCGTCCCAAAATGGCACCCTATACCCTATATAGTGCACTAATTTTGACCAGGGCCAATAGGGTAGTGCACTACGTAGGGAATAGGGTGCCATTTGGGATCCAAGAGCTGTCTGTGGAAAGCCCTTCAAGTTCTCTGGAGCACAAATCACAGACTGTCTATAGTTCTCACCACATCCCTGTCAGCTACCACCACAAACACATACACACACACACACACACACACACACACACACACACACACACGCGCGCGCGCGCACGGTCGCAGCCGAACATGCGGTTGGAAACGCTCCCTGCCACACTACTCACACAACCACCTGCCACCCTCGGTATGGTGATCTTTAACGCAGAAGAATCATTCTTCAGTGACACAGAACCAAAGATAAAGAGCTCTTTCTAAAAGGTGACTTTTGTCGTCCAACGTGCGGTCAGTGAAGTGATGGCATTTCAATATCTTTCTCTTTGTGATCTCGTTAGCTGTTGGTGTCTGACAGATCGCCACACTCGGACTGGCGTGAAATGCCAATATTTTTCTTTGTATGGAATAAACTCCCTCTCTCCTCCCGCTCTCTTTTCTAATTCTGCTCTCCCTCCTCTCTTCTCTCTGTTGACACTCAGTGATGAAATTCCACAATCGCACCCTTCGCCGGCCACGGATTGATTAAATGTCAAGAGGGGATTCTTGTCCGACCGATTCGTGAAGATCCCGTTATCACCCAGCGATATGACTTCTGTGTCACTTATACTATTACGGCCGCACAGTATACTATGTACACCACTCAGGAGTCTGATATACGTCGTAGAGTGCTCAATCTGCTAATCATCTCTGAGAGATGATCTGATGTATGATGCGCTCGCTACTTGTGTCGCGACAGCAATGATAGATCCCGATATTCCAGTTTTACCGCGCCGTCACTTCTTCCGTCATAGTCTGTCGACACTGCTTGGCTAGATTCCTATGCGTCACCTGCTCTCCCACATCTGTTGGATCACGCTGTGTGTCCAGCACATCTAGTAGGCCTCACATTGTGTACACTGATCGAGCACGCAATGATTTGATTAGTCGGTCGCGCTCTCACACCTCAACTTCAGCATGTGCTGCGAGATGAGAGCTGTCCAGCATTGGAACGCGGGAGGAGAGAGGTACCTCGACGAGAAGTGACCGTAGGAGAGCTAGGAGAGAGGGAGTCGGAGAGTGCTGGAGATGAAGATTTGTGATGGGTTATAAGAGATGTGACAGAGCTGAGAGCTTATATGTAGACCGTAGCACCTCCGAGCGGGAGCCAACAAATGACACGAGCCTGTGCTGAGTCCTGCCCCCACAGCCAAGTGGAGAATGACGGTTCTGTCCTGGCCGACAGGTGCCATCCGAGAGAACATCATCATTTGTGACAACCAGTAGGTTCAAGGTACGGATTGTTGCTCGTCTGGAGTGTTCACCTTTCACTACCTACCAATATGACACCAGACCCCTCTTTCCCTCCTCCCGTACCAGCCCACCCTCCCATACCCCCACTCCTGATCTACGGTAAGTGAAGTATAGCCGCCTATCACCCTGTGTTAATTGTATTGATCCCTGATATGTATATTCCGCCTTAACCTGCTCTTGATTGATCTGTGTGCCCTGTACCTGGTATGCCCCTTGGTCACCCGCACCATGTCAATAATGTTATTGTCGTCGTCTCAGTGCTGCCCCTAACAGGGTATCCGATGGAGGGTTATCGCTGCCGCCCCCCTACAGCGCACTACCGCCCCCCCCCTCCCCGCTCACAAACGGCACCTCCCGATGTAGAGCGTGCCCCCCCTAACCCTCCAGTCATTTTGTGTCATTTATACCAGGAATCACTGCTTTTACCCTCCCTGCACCCTTTACTTGTCACTAGTTGACAGCCCAGATTTAGACCCCCATCAAGACACCCATTAGTTATTGGATAGTGCCTGGCGGATGCTATATGTCTATACTTACCGCCCCCCCCCCCCCCCCAAGTTGCAGCCTGGTGTTCGCTACACTGTGATGCAGTTGTTTAGTCAGCCCATCGTGAATTCGATGCTATATCCAAAGTATCTCGACTTGCAGCCAGCAGTGCCCAGCGTTTCACAATGAACTATACGTAAGATAAGCAGACCTGGTACATAGGCCCTGTAACCTAATCAAGTTCGGTCTGGTGACCCCCAATTGTACAGTTGCACCATTGACGATATCTCTAGCCTTCGGTTGATCTAACACACTGTCTTTGTCCAAGAATATTAATCCACCCCTTGCTTCAAATGAATTCTTTCTTTCTTCTCCTTCTGCCAGGGTCGCATATAGGGCGATGACATCCAACTCTGCCCTAGCTCTTAGAGACGTCAGTCGATTCTGTGATCGTTGAGACATCACAGCTGCTTTCTTATGATCTACTCATCTATATTTAAGATAGCGAAGCTTCTACCCGAGTGTTCCCCTTGATTGTTACATTTGTATGGACTCGCTCACCTTCTCCAATAAGAAATTATACGCAATTTGCTGACACTGTAGCTTATGACTGATGTCCTACTGAAGCCAAATTGCACAGCGTCAGGTAGCACTGCGACCTGGAGCCTCGCACTCAGGATCGTGCTCTAAGTGATCCCCGTATCCAACTTGCCAGCAAACTAGCTGCTACTCTCTATGAACTGCCATAAGTCACTGCGATGTAACCGACTGTGGTGAAATACTTCAAGTGTCATATTAATTTGCCATGATTTAAACCAACCTCTCCACGCCACTGTGAGAGATCAGGGCGGTAACACCACCTCAGCAGCCCCCTATGTTTGGTAAGTAAGACTTTCTCCGGTTTCTGCAAATGCGTAGTTATCTGAGTTCTGTTCTATTGGTGAGATTAAAATATCTTTAGTGTCCGCAGTTAAGACAACACCCCCACCCATGCACGTCACACAAGCCCTGTCTGTCCAGGCTATCTTTGGCATTGGAATGTGTTCTTCTATATTTCAAGCTGTGAGGATGGAAGGAAGTGGGGCTAACGGCACCTCAGTAGTGTGGAAAATATTTGAAATGGAAAATATGGAATCATATGGAATCATATCAAACATTTGACGTTTGAGTCTTCACATTGGGTCGCCCTGTTCTAAATAACAAGGCTTCCTAGGTAAAATTTTGCCCCAATCTAGTTTCCCACACACAAACTTAGAATGCCATAACCAAGTACCGTCTGAAGTGATGATGAAGACAGAAGCAGGGGCAGTCCAGTTAGTTGATGTATATATACTACAGAGAAAAGTACATGGTCATTGGGAAGAGGGTGGTTAAGACAGGTGGTTAGGGCACCGTGGGATGAAGGGAAAGGCTAACAGTTTTCCCAGTCTTTCTCTCCTATCTTTTGTATAGAACAGTAGAAACATCTTGGGTGTGTCGGACAGCTTGGTCATAAGGAGGAGTCATGTTCCCCTCATATCGTACAGGCCATGCAGGAGGATACCAAAGGCTATTTACGACCCGACAGGACAAGATGAACATTTTCAAGGTGTAGCTTCACACGATAAACTTTGGAGAGATCAACATGTATTAAAATCAGTAATTGCATTGAACCCAGTCGAATTGGTTATTAGAAAAGCACACACATAACTTTTCCATCACACAGATTGAAATGATTCCCTGTTTCCAACGTGGTCCTGGTGAGCGGTACAGGGCAACAGACCCACTGCCTCGGAAGGAATTTACTCCAAAGTGTTGTTCTGGGGGGACATTATACAAGAGAGGTATAAAAAACAACAATTAGGTATTATAGGCGCGATGGAATCTGGATGAAAAGAGATGCTCTCTTACTGTAGAGGGATTAGAGGGATGGGGTGTGGAAAGTATATGATTTTTCCACACTGGTCCCCAGGTTTCAAGTAGGGGTACAGGTGAGGGTGTACAGGAAATAAAAGCCCCCCCCCCCCCCCCCGCCCCCCGCTGCCCCCACCGCGGTTGTTGCACGGCGTTAATGGTGTCCCCTGACTCGAGTTGAAGGTTACAGTATTCAAGCTGTCATTCTAACCATAAAATCTCCTTCCCAGACCTCCACTTTTAGCTCAGTGCATTTGTCGAAGGGGACCATTGTCAAAAGGTATATTATTTTTATTGGTATTAGCATATTTTTTTATTTAGTAGAATTCCAGACGGATTGTTGGACGTATAATAATAATAACATTGGTTCTGATGGGAATAGGAAACGTACGGTGACCACAGCGTAACCTGTAGCAGGTGGAGAAACAGGAGTTGGAAACAAAATGGAAAGATCTTAAAATACTATGGCGTGCCACACGAGGGCGATCAAACTCATTCCATGGAGGTCCTACTGTATACTGGTTGAGTATTCGATTAAATAAGACCTTAGCCTAGACAACCAGGGGGAGGGGATTGTTCCGTACTAATTAGTGACCGAGACAACCAGTGAGGGGAATATTTACTAATTAGGATTAGGGACACTTTTACCTAGACAACCAGGTTGTGGGGAGGGGGATTTCCTTACTAATTAGTGACCTAGACAACCAGGGGAGGGGGGAGAGGGGGATTGGATTTCCTTTACTAATAGTGACCTAGATAACCAGGTTGTTGAGGGGATTTCCTTACTATTAGTGACCTAGACAACCAGGTGGAGGGGGATTTACTTATAATTAGTGACCTAGACATCCAGGTTGAGGGGGCTTCCTGCTCATTAATAGTGACTAGAAAACCAGGGGGTGATATTGGGGATTCTTGCATTACTAATTAGTGACCTAGACACCAGGGGTTGGGTGATGAGGGATGGATTTCCATAATAAATAGGCCCTAGACAACCTGGTGAGGGAGTTTACCTACTTATTCGTGCCCTTCATAATTAATCAAGTACAGGGAGGAGCGCAAAAAAAACCTTGCAGACACATGTGGTGTAAAAGGTTGAAACAATGCTTCTGTTTCTCTCTTCTTTTCTCTCTCTGTCTCTCCAAAACAACGGGTTTTCCTCTGGGTCAGCCCCGATAAGTGTGGTGCCTTCTATGGAGCAGGACTCGCCCAACCCTTTCCTGGAGACTTACCGTCCCTGGAGGTTTTTTTACTCCAAACCCTGGTTTCCTGGAGAGCTACCGTTTTCCTGGAGGGTTTTAAACTCCAACCCTGGTCCTGGAGAGCTACCGTCATGGAGGTTTGAATTCCAACCTGTTCATGGGAGAGCTCCGTTCTGGAGGTTTTAACTCAAACCTGTCCTGAGAGAGTACGAATGAGGTTTTAACTCCAACCGCTGTTCCTGGAGAGATACCGTCCTGGAGGTTTTAACTCCAAACGGTTCCTGGAGGAGCTACCGTCCCCTGGAGGTTTTAACTCCAACCCTGTTCCGGAGAGCTACCGTCCTTCCTTGTAAGGTTTTTAACTCCAACCTGTTTCCTGGAGGAGCTACCGTTCTGGAGGTTTAACTCAACCCTGTTCCTGGGAGAGATTACCGTCCCCTGGAGGTTTAACTCCAACCCTGTTACTGGAGATGCTAACGTCCTCTGGAGGTGTTAACTCCAACCCTGTTCCTGGGAGCTTACCGTCTGGAGGTTTAACTCCAACCGTTCCTGGAGAGCTACAGTCCTGTAGGTTTTAACTCAACCTGTCCTGGAGGGGAAGAGCTTACCGTCCTGAGGTTTATATCAAACCTGTTTCATGGAGAGCTCCCGTCTGTGAGGTTTTAACTCCAACCCTGTTCCTGGAGAGCTACGTCCTGTAGGTTTTAACTCCAACCCTGTTCCTGGAGAGCTACCGTCCTGTAGGTTTTAACTCCAACCTGTTCCTGGCGCGCTACCGTCCGGTAGGTTTTAACTCCAACCCTGTTCCTGGAGAGCTACCGTCCTGTAGGTTTTAAACTCCAAACAATGGTCATGGAGAGCTACGTCCGCTGTAGTTTTAACTTCAACCCTGTTCTGGAGGAGCTAACGTCTGCCCTCTGTAGGTTTTTTGATCCAACCTGTTCCTGCGGAGCTACCGTCCTGGAGGTTTTAACTCCCAAACCTGTCCTGGAGGAGAGGGAGTCCGTCCTGGAGGTTTTAACTCCAACCCGTTTTTTCCTGGAGAGAGCTACCCCCCTCCGGTAGGGTTAAACTCCAACCTGTTCTGGAGAGGCTACCGTCCTGTAGGTTTTAACTCCAACCTTGTTCCTGGAGAGCTACCGTCCTGTAGGTTTTAACTCCAACCCTGTTCCTGGAGAGCTACCGTCCTGTAGGTTTTTGCTCCAACCGTAATCTAGCGCACCTGATTCTAATAATTAACAGGTTGATAAGATAAATCAGGTTAATAACACCTGGGGTTGGAGTGAAAACCTACAGGAGGGTAGCTCTCCAGGAACAGGGTTGGGCAACCCTGCTATAGAGAATAAAAGGCTTGTAAGTGAAAACTATTACGCTTGTTTGAGCATCAAGATTAGTATAGTTTGCTATTTATCTTAAGTTTTCACAGTGGTTACATCCAAACTTAAGCGCAAAAGACGTGGGAAATACATATTTTTTGTTCAAAATACATATTTTTAGGGCCTACCGAGTGGCGCAGCGGTCTAAGGCACTGCATTGCAGTGCTTGAGGCATCACTACAGACCCGGGTTCGATCCCAGGCAGCTGTGACCGGCGGGGCAAAATTGGCCCAGTGCGGTTTGGTGGAACATGTTTCAGAGGACGCATGACTAGATCGCAATTGGGGAGAAAAAGGTGCTAAAATAAAAAAATATATATAATAATAATAAAAAAATACCTTCAGGTGGAGAAACAGAAAGTTGGAAACAAATGGAAAGATTCAAATATTATGGCATGCCACAAGAGGGCGTTCTTATCTTATAATCAGACGTGAGCAAAAGACATTGAAAATACATATTTGTGTTTGTGCTCATTGGGAAGGGGTTCTAGATAGCTAACTGCACATTCTGCTCTGTGCTCCAGCCTCCAGCACTTCTGTTGAAAAAAGTTAGCTCCTCCCAACCTGTCAAAAGCCATTCAAATGAATTCTGTCCATATTTTTTTAAACTTTATATCGAAGGAGTGTCTTTAATTTGACGGCCTACACATGTACATTTCAGTGCAACGTGACCGTTAGACCCGATGACGTATTTCTGCGCAAGAGCTATGGTAGGTAACGTCGCCATGACATCGCCTGCAAGCATGATCAGGGATGCAGGTTGATTATTGGGATGAGTCATATCCTTGAGGCAGAACTGAGCGATTTCCACTAGATAGGCCAGCTGCAAAGTCAAAATTGGCTATATTGTAAAAATTTATGAAAACAAATAAAAGTGCTTTTTGGTCTTAATTTAAGGTTAGTGTTAGGCATTAGGATTAGCAGTGTGGTTAAGGTTAGGTTTAAAATCAGATTTTATGACTTTGTGGCTGTGCCAGCTAGTGACCACTGCAGAGCTGCCTCCAGAACAAGATTAATGAACAAAAATGTTAACCTGCAACAAGCAGTTACAGGCCTCTTTATTTAAATTATCTTTGGTAAAACGGCAATAAACTTTTTGCTCGATAGGTGGGTAAAAAATTGTGTTTACATGTGTTTACCCTCCACTACACCTCTGCAGAAAACTGAACAGTTTACATGTGTTTACCCTCCACTACACCTTGCAGAGGACTGAACAGTTTACATGTGTTTACCCTCCACTACACCTTGCAGAGGACTGAACAGTTTACATGTGTTTACCCTCCACTACACCTTGCAGAGGACTGAACAGTTTACATGTGTTTACCCTCCACTACACCTCTGCAGAGGACTGAACAGTTTACATGTGTTTACCCTCCACTACACCTTGCAGAGGACTGAACAGTTTACATGTGTTTACCCACCACTATACCTCTGCAGAGGACTGAACAGTTTACATGTGTTTACCCTCCACTACACCTTGCAGAGGACTGAACAGTTTACATGTGTTTACCCTCCACTACACCTTGCAGAGGACTGAACAGTTTACATGTGTTTACCCTCCACTACACCTTGCAGAGGACTGAAATTGTGCAGTAACATAACTTACGCATCAGTGTCTCCCGCTATCCATTCGGGGTCTCCCAACAGTCCCCAGGCGCTGACCACCGTCACCACCAGTCTTCCCTTCGAGACCTTCTTGAGGCAGCAGTTTGAGTCCAGTTTAGAGTAACGGTCCCCACAGGACATTTCCCTGGTGCTCTCTGGGAGGGCGTTCTCCTTCAGGTACTCCAGGACAGCCTCCTTTGTATTTAGATCAACATGTTAACATATTAATTGATATATAACATATAACCTAAGATCCCGATTTTAGGTTTTATTTATGCATCCTGTGACAAGAATCTCCAATAAACAAACCCACCTGAGGTAATATAATTATATAACAAACAACCTTCAGGTTACAGCAAACTTCTGGGTTTTATTCTCCAGAGTTCAAACTCTTTGGAATCTCTGGCCAATAACAATAGAATGTAATAGAATATAATAGCCTTGATGTGAATCATGTACATGTACATATCTTAACCTACTGGCCCATGTTAGCTAGGTAGGTAAGTTAGGCTAACCAGCTATCATAAACCCTGTTTATACCTGGTTCTAACATCCTGATCCTGCCCACATATTTAGACAGGTGTAGACCATTAAAAGATGCATTGTGATCTGATTGTGCCCACATATTTAGACAGGTCTAGACCATTAAAATATGCATTGTGATCTGATAGTCAGACACATTGTGCCTGGTAACCCTACAAGTGTAGACGAATCTGGACATCGAAACCATTTAAATCATCATCATTATCCTGCCTTCTAAAATAATTGACAGGTGTCACCATTGACTGAAGGCATCAATGAAGGAAACAGAGGAAGGCTCTCTCTCTCTCACTTGAGTATCTTACCTATTTCTTTTCTGATGATCTCATTTTTGCTCTTTTGTAGCTTGGGCAACTATGGGTGTGTTTTCTGTTGGCTCCTCTCCCTGTAGGCTTTACAGACGCTCCCCACCCCTTGGCTGCAACCCTTCTCATTTATTGTACCCTGCGTGCACAACCCATGTGGAATTCCGGGTCTCTGGCAGCGCTGGGAACTGCCGATCTGCGGTCAAGAACACTGAGTTCATCTCAGCCTATGCTGTCCTGTAGTCCCTTGACCTTTTGGCCCTGACGGAGACATGGATCACCCCCCGAAGAACGCTCTTCATCTGACTATGTTTTCTCTCGGTGGTGGCACAGGGTTACTCATTTCTCCTGAGTGGAAAACTTTATATTTTCTCCTTCTCTCCATTTCCTCATTTGAATTCCATGCTGTCACTGTCACTTGTCCTCTTGCCCAGTTGTGCACCGGGGCCTCCCACTCCTCTTTCTATTCTGGTTAGAGCCAGTTTGCGCTGTTCTGTGAAGGGAGTAGTACACAGCGTTGTACGAGATCTTCAGTTTCTTGGCAATTTCTCGCATGGAATAGCCTTCATTTCTCAGAACAAGAATAGACTGACGAGTTTTAGAAGAAAGTTATTTGTTTCTGGCCATTTTGAGCCTGTAATCGAACCCACAATTGCTGATGCTCCAGATACTCTACTCGTCTCAAGAAGGCCAGTTTTATTGCTCCTTTAATCAGCAAAACAGTTTTCAGCTGTGCTAACATAATAGAAAAAGGGTTTTCTAATGATCAATTAGCCTTTTAAAATGATAAACTTGGATTAGCAAACACAACGTGCCATTGGAACACAGGACTGATGGTTGCTGATAATGGGCCTCTGTACGCCTATGTAGATATTCCATAAAAACAATCAGCCGTTTCCAGCTACAATAGCCATTTACAACATTAACAATGTCTACACTGTATTTCTGATCATTTTGATGTTATTTTAATGGACAAAAAATGTCCCTTGTGCAGATCTGCCCCGAAAACACTATTGAGAAAGTAAAACCACAGAGTTTGCCAACCCAGATGCTCAAAATGCTCATATTTCAGCGAACGCCTCACAAAGCAGACTCTAAAGACCAGACAGGTGTTTGGGGTTTGTCAATGGGAGAAGTGAAAAAATTGTCCTTGTTCATTTTCTCGAAATATAAAGGCAAAATCTAGATTTTAGATGATGTCTTAAAGATGCACTCTCAATCTTTTGTATATTTTAAGCCAGTAGTTTTAAAAGCGGTGCTCACAAGCCAAAAGTGGTCCCTGTTTTTTATATACTACGTCATCAAATTGTGTACCACGGCATCAAATTGTGTACTGTGTCATCCATTTTGTATGATACGTTGTCTGTGTTTTGGTTCATGTCTGTATATATTAAATGTTCACTCCCTGTACTTGCTTCTCGTCTCCCAGCGTCTGTCCTTACAGAATGCTTACACCCTTATCAGAAGCATCAGGGAAGTTTTTTGTTTGGGTTAGTGACGTCGGGTCTGGTGCCACTGCCGAAGGAACCGGGGATGCCTCAGCTGGCTCGTCAGGCTTCCATGCCTTAGCTGCCTCGAGAGGTTTTGTTGCCTCGGTTGGCTCGGCAGGCTCCCATTCCACGTCACACCTCCGCCGGCTCGTCAGGATTCCACTCCTCGGCCGGCCCGTCATTTTGACCCCTATCCTTTGAGAGACAAACCTATGACCTGTTCAACAAAATCTCTTTCTCTGAGCAATTGTATTAATGTAAAATAATATAATTTCCCAATTTTTGGGAGCATACAATATAGATCAGTATTAACATTATTTATTTTATAAAGTTTATTATTACTAATCTTTATTAAGGGCATCAATAATTTCATACCCCAGTGTATTTCATATGATGATTTGGGTCATAAAACTTTTATGAACCAGAAAGTCAAACCAGGTCACTACAACTTAACTTGGTGTCCAAGCATGGTCCCGTCTCACTTGGTTGAATTACAGCAGAATTGGTCAAATGCTCTACAGCTAAGGGATTCTTGAAAACAAATCGAAACTTTTTTTCACACATACTTTTCTTATTTTTTCCTTTATTGGCAAAATTTGAAATATATATTTTGACCAAAGTATCAGCTATCACAATATGTAAATAGACAACCTCATAATTTCTTATATGTTTTCATAAAATGCATCTCATCTTTTACATTTACACTGCCTTCAGAAAGTATTCACCCCCCTTGACTTTTTCCACATTTTGTTGTGTTACTGCCTGAATTTAAAATGAATTAAATTGAGATGTTTTGTCACTGGCCTACACACAATACAGTGTATATTGCAGAACAGTGACAAATACATCTATATTTAGGGGGTTAGCCATCAGTGACAGAGTTTACAAGCCACTGACGGAGTTGACAACAGATACTCAAAACAGACATCTTTTTCCTTCTGAATATAAAAGTTAAATACAAAAATGTGTAAAATATGGAAAATTATCATTAGAAAATCGCAGATAAAAACAAAAACCATTCTATAAAATCTTTCAGCACTCTGACGGAATTGATATTAGACAAAAATCTGATGGTTGACAAAAATGTAAATTTTTCTTCTTCATTCAAGTGGTATACAAAGTAGCAATTTTGTTTTTCAGAAGTCACAGTGAAAGTAAACGTTTTTACCAAAACAGAGGCTGGGTACTGTCAGTCATCCTACCGTCCTCCCTTCCTTCCACCCTCCCCCACACAACCAATAAGATCCAGAAGAACAGCAAGAAAATAATAGGTGATGTTCAGTAGCCGCCCCGCTGTGTTACCATTTCAATTAACTCTTTACAGCTCTGTATTGTTTGTTTTGAAATATCAATGGTGTTATTGGGTCTTTAGTTCTTGTTGTTATGAAGTCATGTCTTGTCTCATGACATTTGGTTGAAATCTAGCCTTTCAGTTCAGAGGACAGAATCAAGACAAGGAAGGATCATTTTGATCTCGATTAAATGTTCTATAGAAACTGGCCACAGGTTATTTCATTTAAGCAATAAGGCATGAGAACGATTAGTTACCGGAGTGTAACTCCAGTTCTATGAGTGGAGCGGAGCCCCATAGGGGAGCTCTGCTCCTAGTGGTTTACCCTCTGCCCTAAGGCAGCATCAGCCTGAGACAAAATTATGCACACACCTGCAGCCAATAGGAGTACAGGTGTCCCTATAAGAGGGGATGCCTCCCCTCAATCAGCCTCCCGAGATATTTATCTTCAGTGAGACTAGAGAGGGTCGGCAGGGCCTTAAGTCCTATGGGGCTCCGCTCCACTCATAGAACTGGAGTTACACTCCGGTAACTAATCGTTCTATATCGTGGAGCTCCGCCCCATAGGGGAGCTCTGCTCCTAGTGGTTTAAGGCGGAGCGTAGCGCTCCAAAATGTACTCCCTGCCGAGCCTAACACTTCCCATCAAAATGAAAAGGTCAGGCCTAGCAATGGCTGCAACCGAGTCCCGCAGTACTGCAACTACTGAACCCATATGGGCGTCACAATATACCGCGTCATCGGTTAAAGACCCGCCCCACCTAGTCCAATGGCAATGCCAATGACTAGTGGGCAGATCACCAGAATAGAAGCCATACTAATCTGTACTAGCAGATAGATGTGCCTCGATATCCTGTGAAAAAACTACCGACCACTAATGGAATGACACCAAGTGTCACTCTACATTGTGTACACAGTAGACCGCCTCACTCACTCAATGAAACCCCAGAGATTAGTGGGCAGAAAACAGAACATGAGTCATACTAAACTGAACAAGCAGATAGATGACCTCACATTCCATCACATTGTTATGACAGATCCAATAGTATCGTAACCCAGTTACTACTATTATCACCCATCATTCCGCCCCACTCCAGTGAATAACTGGTGGGCAGATCAATACATGCTCTCTACTGTACTGAACCAGTCAGTCAGGAGTCATGCCAAAAAACATGCCTTCCTATCCAAAGCGGACCTGATGGAAACCTATGTCCACAGTCCTGCTTTTCCTCTTCTTCTAGCTCAAGATCTCCCTTCAGCTATGCCGAGTACAGACCGAGCCAAAGAGTTAAAAGACATATCTAACAGGTAGAAACGGATAAATGGAGACGGTGACAATCAAGACGCCGCTGCGCAATTATCCTCTACACATGTTCCTCTGAAAAGGTAATAGAAGCTGCTACTCCACGAGTGGGTTGGGCTCTTCTACCCAAAGGCAATTGCCGCCCTGCCGCCTCATAAACCGTCTCAATGTCTTACAAACCCAATGAGACAGACGCTGTTTATAATGTGGTCTACCGAGTGCAACCGCACCGTGACACACAAAAAGCAGCTGAGGCGATGACCTAATCACCGCCTTGCGCTCCACGTAGCGGGCCAAGGCGCGCACTGGGCACAGGCGATAGAGCCGTTCCTCTCTCCTCTCAACCTGGCGAGAGGGAGAGAAGGCCCACAGCTCTACGGTCTGTAATCTATATAAGCTCTTAATAACCTCAGGTATAAATACCGGGTAAAGACTTAACACCGTCCTGCTCAATCGCCATAAATGGCCAAGCAGTCGGATCTCGTCGAAAGAGCCCACAATCACTGACACGTTTAGCAGTGGTCAAAGCGAGCAGCAGTGTCTTCAAAATAACATTTTAAGGGGGATTAGAGCCCTCATCATTACAGTGTCTAGCTGTATCCCCTGGTAGACAATCTGATGACTGGGCCAGGGCGTGCTCTTTTTCCAATTCACAGCGAACCCCAGACGCGTGAAATGAATCACTGTCTGTGTTGTGTGAATGAACGTCAGCTCTGCTGACGGGGCGAGAACCAGTAGGTCGTCTAGGTAGGCTAATAGCCGTATTCCCTGACGACGCAACGGCTCCAATGCCGCCTCCACACACTTGGAAAACGTGCGAGGTGCCAGGGCGTACCCAAATGGCATCCTCGTGTATTCGTACGCCACCCCTTGAAAGGCAAACCGCAGAAACTTCCTGTGACGCGGCTGAACCGGCACATGAAAGTACGCGTCCTTTAGGTCTATGCTCGTACAAAAGTCCCCTCTCTGGACACATTCCAGCAGACGTTTTGTCGTTAGCATTCGAAAGGGCCGTTTGGTTACGCTCTCGTTGAGAATGCGTAAATCCAATATCGGCCTCATTCCCCCCGTCTTTTTGGGCACTAGGAAGTAGGGTGAATATAGCCCCTTGTTCATTTGCTCCTGGGGAACCACTGTGACCGCCTCCTTCGCCAAAAGTTACGTAACCTCTGAAACCAGAACGGCCACTTTTTCGGGCGTTTTCATCACCGTCTCCACCACTCCCCTGAATGGGGGTGGGGTCCGATGGAATTGGAGAGCATAACCCTTCTGCAACGTCTGATCTAGCCAGCGTGAGAGGGTGCAGCTTCGCTGCCACTGCCAGCAATACAGAGAAAGCGGGCGCGCGCGAAGCTGTGGTACATTCAGTAGGAAGGACCTGTATTCCTCTATGGCCCTTGCCGCCGCTGTTCCCCAACACTGAGGTGGTGGAACAGCCCAAGGCGGGCCTCCCATGAAAGGGAGAGGAAACATTGGTGCGTTCTGAACCCAAAGGGGGGGCAGAAACGTCAGTTAATCTCGTAACCGTCGAATTACTGCCCTCCGTGAATGCAACACGGGTCTGAATTGCACTGACCGAGGCCACAGCCTGCGACAGGGCACCATCCCCAGTAAGCGATTGCGTCATCGTAGATGCCTGCAATTCGCTATTAGAGCCACTCACTCCAATACTCCTAGGAGTATGTAATATGAGGTCTCTATGAAGTAACCCAAGGCGGCGCCTTGATACCTTCTTAGCCTTCACTTCTGTGTGTGTTCAACTCTGCACCCCTGGTGGGTTGAATCACACTCAGTGTGAGTATTAGCGCGTTATGTGAGAAGTGGGGCTCAGATACGTCAGTTATTCTCGTAACCTTCGTAATCTGGCCCTCCGTGAACGCAGCGTGGGTCTGAATCGCACTAACCGAGACCCTAGTCTGCGATAGTGCGCCATCCCCAAACAGTGGCTGTGTCCTCATGTCACCTGACTGAGGCTGTAGCCTACTCTGAGAGGCACTCACTACAGTACTCCTTGGAGTCTGTAATGTGAGGTCTCTTTGAGATATACCAAGACGGCGTCTCGGTATCTTTTCTCCTTTCACCTCCTGTGTGCGTTCAGCTCTGCACCTCTGGTGGGCTGAACTACACTCAGTGTGGTGAGTAATGGCGCGTTCAGAGAGAAGTGGCCCGATACACTGGGCACCTTCTAACTGGTACCACAAGGTGGCGCCATGATACCTCTTTATCACTAGTCACATGAGTCTGCTCAGCTGCGCACTCTTGGTGGGCTGAGCTACACTCAGAGTAGTGGGTATCATTGCGTTCTGTGTTAAACGGGGGCGCCGATACGTTGGTTACGTCCTGTAACTCTAGTATTCCGGCCCTCCTTGAACGCAGTATGAGTCTGTACTGCACTGACTAAGGCATTAGCCTGAGACAGGGCGACATGCCCATATGTAGATCGCGTCATCATGTCATACTCTGACCGAGACTGCAATCTGTCGTGTGAGACTCTCTCTACAGAGCTCCTAGGAGTCTGTGACATGAGGTCTCTCCTCGGTAACATAGGGCTGTGCCCTGATACCTTCCTCACATTCGCCTCCTGTGTATGCTCAGTTACACACCTCTGGTGAGTCGGGCTACATACAGAGTGGTGAGAATCAATATGTTCTGTGAGAACAGGGGGCGCCGATACGTTGGTTACACCCGTAACTCTAGTATTCCGGCCCTCCTTGAACGCAGCACGGTTCTGAGCCGCCCTGACTAAGACACTAGCCTGAGACAGGGCGCCATCCCCAGATATAGGTCGCGTCATCATGCTATTCTCTGGCTGAGACTGCAGCCTGCTGTGTGAGACGCTCACTACAGCACTCCTAGAAGTCTGTGACGTGAGGTCTCTATGAGGTAACACAAGGCGGCGCCTTGATACCCTTTTATCTTCACCTCCTGTGTGTGCTCAGCTCTGCACTCCTGGTGGGCTGAGCCACACTCAGTGTGGTTATTATCAGCGCGTTCTGAGAGAAACGGGGGCGCCGATACGTTGGTTACGCCCGTAACCGTAGTAATCAGGCCCTCCGTGAACGCAGCACGGGTCTGAACTGCACTGACTGAGGCGTTAGCCTGAGACAGAGCGCCGTCCCGAATAGCGGTCGCGTCATCATGCCATTATCTGGCTGAGACTGCAGCCTGCTATGTGAAACACTCACTACAGCACTCCTAGGAGTCTGTAAAGTGAGGTCTTTATAAGGTACACTTAATACCTTTTATATACCTGCCTTATGTGTACGTTCAGCAACGCACCATGGTGGGCTGAGCTGCACTCATAGTGGTAAGAGAGAGAGCGAGAGTGAGGAAGGTCGAACGCTCTCGGATGTATTATGGAAAAGGGGCTCTTTTTTTGACAGTGTCAAGTAGAGCCAACTCTTTATTACACACATTAACAAAAAACATTCTCCTCCATACACTCAACGGTAGGGTGGGGGGGGGGGGGGGCAGTGGGCTCGGTCACAGCAGGGTCTGCGCCGTCTTCCGTTCTCTCCCCCTCGCCTGTCATAAACGGCGTCTCTTCTGGCCGCCCTTTGGGTGATGCCAAACGGCGTCTCTGAATTTCCTTGTAAAAGACCAACACTGTAAGATCGTATTTTGTAACTTAGCTAGCCATGTTGGCATAGAACACACTTTCAAATAATTGATTACATTTACCATGAATATTCTTATCATGTTACTGAATGCATCCAGAGTATTTTCAGATTTTGCTATCAAAAGACACAGCGAAATACAGTAAATGTAAAATGCATATAAAATCAACAGTGTAATGTTTGGATTCAGTCTTAACTGTTTTGTCCTCCGTTTAGTCTAATCATTTTCCCATAATCTCCAACTGTTCCCCTTTGATTGCTACCATGGTTATGCATATACTTTCCACATTTCAGAAACATGTCAATTTAGCTCTATCAATATAGGCTAATTCCCAATAGTGTAAAGGGTTAAAGACTCTAGCTTTAGGAAAGTTTTCCGGAAAGTTTGTCATAGTCAGAAATTGAGCTGTTCTGTATAAAAGACCATCCCTGGTTGAAGAGAAAAACAGACATAGAGGGAGAGACAGACTTCATCACTGACTCCAGATCTGAGGACAAATTCAGCTGTAGAACCACTCTTGCAAATTCAAAGAGGTGAGTGGATTTGCAACTTGGAAAAGAACAGAAAAGCCTTTAAGGACAATGTTTAGATTCAGAGGAATCTTTGTCAAATTTGTGACTTTGCAGATTTATAAAGTGTTTTTTCATATCATAGTTGTGTATTTCAATTCAATCCAAAATCATGGATGGTGTGACTTTTGAGTTGTCACTAGCCTATAAACCAAACAAAGGTTTGAGTTGTCACTAGCCTATTAACCAAACAAAGGTTTGAGTTGTCACTAGCCTATTAACCAAACAAAGGTTTGAGTTGTCACTAGCCTATTAACCAAACAAAGGTTTGAGTTGTCACTAGCCTATTAACCAAACAAAGGTTTGAGTTGTCACTAGCCTATTAACCAAACAAAGGTTTGAGTTGTCACTAGCCTAATAACCAAACAAAGGTTTGAGTTGTCACTAGCCTATTAACCAAACAAAGGTTTGAGTTGTCACTAGCCTACTAACCAAACAAAGGTTTTGCAGTGGCAATTGTCGGGATAATGGTAAAACGTTAAATATGACACCTACTCATTATCTTTTGGTTACACAGATCTGGTGTGTGTGTTGTTGAGAAGACTATGTAATCCTAATGATAATTAATAATAATGAGACTCTGTCATTTTAATGATAAGTAATAATCATAATCTAATAAATGTTATTCTGTAATTCTGGGGACTTTCTGTGGGGAAGCTATAAGAATAACATGAAGTCTGTAGTTGGTTAAGACTTCTGCCAAGGGTAAGGAGCTAAGATTTTCCTGGCAACGAACTCTAGCGAGACTGAACCGTTTCCTGTCAAAATCTGCAAGGAAAACTTAAGGTCAGAGCTGGCACACAGGCTAATGGCCACACACCCACACAGTAGATATTAACACACATAGAATTACACATTTACACACACGTTCAAATACACACAATGGTTGTATGCGGACAGACCAACGGCATCTCAGGGAAAACCATAGTATAAGGGGATTTCCAGAGCCTAAGTACACACAATACTGAAGGGTTAATGAACAAGTGATTGAGCGATTATATATCGATGTGGAGGGTTAACACCTTTAGATTCCTGTTTCTAAAAAACAATCCGTCGTCTGCTCTTCCCTGTTTTCCTTTTGCTCCGCTTTTTGGTTTACTTCCTGTTATGATGAGTTGTCTGGTATCAAGGAATTCAATATGCAAGAAGATACTAAAACACTTGGATGAAGTGTTGATACATGTATTTAATATACCAGGTTCGTATAACAAACGGCACGTGAGTTGCCCCTTGTTACCCGAACTACTTGACAAAGGAAATCTCTTAGTTTATATAGCCCTTTACACATTTCTTCAACATCATCTGGTAACCATCAGTTGGCACTCCCCACCCTGACATTGCCCCCTTGTACCCCAGGCAGGATATTCCATCTATCAATAATTCTAAGATGAACACCAGTGAGCTCTCTAGACATCCTGGACTTTGTGGCACCAAGAGTGACCTATCTACTGGATTTAACCTCGTTCCTAAAACCCTGTGAAAACACGTCATATCACTTCCTGTTTGGTGTGGGTTTTAATTTTGTTTTCCTCTTCTTGGGCAAATTTAGTCTCATGGCGTCTTTTAGGTCCCAGTTGTTGTTGCTTGTCAACTTTCAGTGGACACCCGCATGAGTGTCTTTCAGAACCCTTCCTAGAATCACACCTGTTTATGTGTGTCTGTTATGACCGAAAAGAGCTTCTGGGTATCAGAACAGCGATTACTCACCTCAAACTGGACAAAGATTTTTTATTTAATGAGTCCGACGCAAAGGATATACTGCTTCCCTGAGACCAGGCCCAAATCCCTGTCATTCGCGTGAAGAAAATACGGAAATACAGGGGGCGGAGCAGGGGGTGGAGATCGGGGTTCTTTGTGAGAATTCGTCGGCAGGTGGGTAACCTGCCTCTACCATCCGTTCTATTGGCCAACGTGCAATCACTGGAAAATAAACTGGATAGTCTCCGTTCGAGATTATACTACCAATGGGACATTAAAAACTGTAATATCTTATGTTTCACCGAGTTGTAGCTGAACGACGACACAGATAATATAGAACTGGCTGGGTTTTCCGTGCATCGGCAGGACAGAACAGCTACGTCTGGTAAGACGAGGGGTGGGGATGTGTGTCTATTTGTTAATAACAGCTGGTGCGCGATGTCTAATATTATAGAAGTCTCGAGGAATTGCTCATCTGAGGTAGAGTACCTCATGATAAGCTGTAGACCACACTATCTACCAAGAGAGTACTCATCTATATTATTCGTAGCAGTCTATTTACCACCACAAACCGATGCTGGCACTAAGACCGCACTCAATGAGCTGTATATGGCCATAAGCAAACAAGAAAACGCTAATCCAGAAGCAGCGCTCCTAGTGGCAGGGGACTTTAATGCAGGCAAACTTAAATCAGTTTTACCTAATTTCTACCAGCATGTCACATGTGCAACCAGAGGAAAAAAACTCTAGACCACCTTTACTCCACACACAGATACGCATACAAAGCTCTCCCTCGCCCTCTATTTGGCAAATCTGACCTTAATTATATCCCCCTGATTCGAGCTTACAAGCAAAAACTAAATCAGGAAGTACCAGTGACTCGCTCAATACGGAAGTGGTCAGATGAAGCGGATGCTACACTACAGGACTGTTTTTCTAGCACAGACTGAAATCTGTTCCGGGATTCATCCAATGGCATTGAGGAGTATGCCACCTCAGTTACCGGCTTTATCAATAAGTGCATCAACTACGTCATCCCCACAGTGACCGTGCATACATATCCCAACCAGAAGCCATGGATTACAGGCAACATCCGCACCGAGCTAAAGGCTAGAGCTGCCGCTTTCAAGGAGCGGGACACTAATCCGGACGCTTATAAGAAATCCCACTATACCCTCAGACGAACCATAAAACAGGTAAAGCGTCAATACAGGACAAAGATTGAATCCTACTACACCGGCTCTGACGCTCGTCGGATGTGGCAGGCCTTGCAAAACTATTACGGACTACAAAGGGAAACCCAGCCGCGAGCTGCCCAGTGACGTGAGCTGACCAGACGAGCTAAATGCCTTTTATGCTCGATTCGAGGTAAGCAACACTGAAGCATGCATGAGAGCACCAGCTGTTCCGGACGACTTTGTGATCACAGTCTCCATAGTCGATGTGAGCAAGACCTTTAAACAGGTCAACATTCACAAGGCCACGGTGCCAGATGGATTACCAGGATGTGTACTCAGAGCATGCGCGAACCAACTGGCAAGTGTCTTCACTGACATTTTCAACCTCTCCCTGACCGAGTCTGTAATACCTACATGTTTCAAGCAGCACCATAGTCTCTGTGCCCAAGAAGGCGAAGGTAACCTGCCTAAATGACTACCACACTGTAGAACTCACGTCGGTAGCCATGAAGTGCTTTGAAAGGCTGGTCATGACTCATATCTACACCATCATCCCGGAAACCCTAGACCCACTCCAATTCGCATACTGCCCCAACAGGTCCACAGATGATGCAGTACAGGTGGTAAGGGTATGCAACAACACATCCGCCACTCTGATCCTCAACACTGGGGCCCCTCAGGGGTGCGTGCTTAGTCCCTTCCTGTACTCCCTGTTCACCCACGACTGCGTGGCCAAGCACGACTCCAACACCATCATTAAGTATGCTGACGACACAACAGTGGTAGGCCTGATCACCGACAACGATGAGACAGCCTATAGGGACCAAGACAGTCGTGAAGGGGGCACGACAACACCTTTTCCCCCTCAGGAGACTGAAAAGATTTAGCATGGGTCCCCAGATCCTCAAAAAGTTCTACAGCCACACCATCGAGAGCATCCTGACCGGTTGCATCACCGCCTGGTGTGGCATCTGCTCGTCATTTGACCGTAAGGCGCTACAGAGGGTAATGCGTACGGCCCAGTACATCACTGGGGGCAAGCTTCCTGCCATTCAGGACCTCTATACCAGGCGGTGTCAGAGGAAGGCCCAAAAAATTGTCAAAGACTCCTGTCACCCAACTCACAGACTGTTCTCTCTGCTACCGCACAGCAAGCGGTACCGGAGCGCCAAGTCTAGGTCCAAAAGGCTCCTTAACAACTTCTACCCCCAAGCCATGAGACTGCTGAACAATTAATGGCCACCCAGACTATTTACATTGACCCCCCATGCATAGTCACTTTACCCTACCTATGTGTACAAATTACCTCGACTAACCTGTACCCCCACACAATGACTGGGTACCGGTACCCCCTGTATGTAGCCTTGTTATTGTTATTTTATTGTGTTACTTTGTATTACATTTTTTACTATTTAGTTTATTTAGTAAATCTTTTCTGAACTCTATTTCTTGAACTGCATTGTTAAGGGCTTGTAAGTAAGCATTTTACGGTAAGGTCTACACCTGTTGTATTCGGCGCGTGTGACAAATAAAATTTGATTTGATTTTGTTTTGGTTGTTGTTAGTGACTCTTTGTTAGTTTCCCCTTCTGTTTGATCGACAACTTTTGGTTTCTTGCAGGGGAATGTAACATAGCTAGCTAGCAGGCTAACGTTAGTGCCTCGTTAGTGGCTAGCTACCGTTGGTTCAGTTTCGTTTTCCTCTTCTGACAGAGAAGACACAGCATATGTATAGCCTGTATGATGTCCAGCCCTGGTGCCCTGATGTCCCATTTCCTTTTGCGCTGTGATCCAGGTATGGGGATTCGATATGAAATGTGTGTGCGGGTTTTTGTCTATGAATCCGTTTTAGTGTCAGATTCAATAGCCATTTGGCTAGTTGGCTCATTCATTTATTTTTCTATGAACATTATTTATGATATTAATTGAGAACATGGTTTATATTGTATCTGTGATTTCATAACTCTTTTTATTCATATTGTGGGTCATTTAAATTATATTTGTTATGGTGAAACACTGGCTGTGTCCGAAATCTGGCTTGCCTACTACTTACTTAAACTGCATACTTTGTACTAATCGTACTAGGTACTATTTAGCATGTACTGTTTAGTAAAATGTATGCAGTACAGATGTAGGATCTACATTTTAGCTAGTTTGCTACAGCAGGAAAATAATCCTGCAGTAACAGGATATGTGAATTATTATGTGGATTATAATTAATGGACAGTTTTGTAGGGTATGATACATTCTTCATTAGGGCAAATTAAATCAGAAATTTCAAAGTGGAATTTATAAACTTTGGAAGCCTTTTTAAAACTAAAATACACTGCAAGTTTGCATTTCCTGCTCTGCAGAAAAATTCTCAGCAACAAAATAGTGATAAAATTAAGATCCTACATCTGTATGACATGGCCGAAATGTACTTATTTTGGTGTGTTCAAGGAATTCGGAAACAAAACGAGCTCAGATTGGGAAAAGTTGTGACGTCAGTGATTTTCAGGTCGGAGCTCGAGTTTCTGAGTTGGATAACCATTCAAAACTATTTTCCCCAGTCGGAGCACTGTAGTGTCGAGTTAAAGTGTTGCTAATAATGCTGTAACAAAGGAGTCCGCTTATACTGAACTTTGATCACAAGTTTTATTCATATCACAAGATTTCAGCATAAGTGTACAGGTGTCCAGATCACCCGGAGAACAGCGTTTCCCAAATTGTAATGGCCGCTCTAACGTTCTCTGTTCAAACCCAGTATTTATAATCTTCCCCAAAATATGGGTGGCTCCCTCTACTGTCCAATCCCCTGTCTTGTATGGGGCGTCACCCTAAAAACCATTCCCTTTGACACTAAATAAACATCCTCTCAGATTCCACTTAAAACCTTAACTAAGTCATAATCTTAATACACTACATATTTCCCCCCTTCGAGACTAACTAAAAGTCTCGAAAACAAAAAGAATAGGATTATGACAAGTAACAATTTCTCTTATTGAGTATCTTTAACAATAAACCCCAAAACACTTTTCTCTGGAGTGTAAATACCTTTCTATGAAATATGAACAAATCTTTATGAAGTGTGAATACATTACTATGAAATATGAACAAATCTTTATGAAGTGTGAGAGCGAAAAACCTGTCTGGCAGCCTTCTTTCCAAATATCCATCCATCAATCAAGACAGTAAAATTCTCTCACGGCCCCTCTGCCCCAGGCAACCACCTAGGTACTCCAGATCAATTCATAAATCTTTATCAATGCATTTGAAACTATGATGCAATTAAATACACATGAAAGCCCCTGCAAACAAAATACTATCCAAAAAATATCCACACCAAGGCTGGTCGACCCATCGGACCCTACGGTGGATTATCTCTATCCCTGCCTAGACTCCATGTCCCTAAGCTTCCACGAAATAAACAAAAACATCTAAGATCCCCACATGTATTCAATAACATCAAATATCATTCTACAAAAATTAATACCTAAGAATATGACACAAATTATGTATTACACATGCAAATATGTCTATATTTCATTGCAGACACTGGAATGTAGTCCACTACACTTCATCTCCTCAGCAGTCTCCTCTTCCAATGCATCTTCGATGATGGAATTGGAACATTTCCACACCTTCCTTGTTCCATCTCCTCCAGTCCTTTCATATTCTCCTTTCATATTGTCCCTTCATATTGTCCTTGTTTGAGTATTTCAATCTCTACATATTCCCCCAAATGCTTCTGGAAGGAAAGAAAAGACCAAACAGTATCTTTTGCAAAACAACACTTTCAAATTAAAACATCAATTAAACATAATATAAAAAATGATATAAAATGATATATGAATCACATTATCTTATTTCCCCCCTTTGATTCATAACAAAATACTAAAATCACACTAATATTGAAAAACATTTGAAAAATGATCAAATAATCAAAAAAAAAAAAAAGAAGATATTTATCCATCAATACTCCATCCAGTCCCACTTGTCCCTCTTCATCCAGATCAGGAACAGTCAACAACGGCATCTGAGTGTTGTCTCCAGGCATCACTACTCCAACCCATCTCAATATCATAGCTTTCTCAAAGGTCAGTAACAAATTACAAAAGAAAAACATCACACACAGTGCCATCAAAGCTGCTATTAAATCTGAACTATCACTGCTCCCACTGGGCCTAACTGATCTTGCAACCAAGACTTCACTGACCATCCAGCTCCTTCAGATCTACCAAATGCATCCCTTATATTCTTCAATGCATCTATAACACTAGTGATATTATCTGAACTATCTGGAATCAAAGTATAGGTAATATTATCAATATGATCTTCCCAAATTTTACACCATAGAAAAATCCCCACTTCTCTCTTAGACTTATCCTCCAATGATAGGCTTCCCAGACTATGAAATTCCTCTAAAATTGGTGCTGGAGGTATCTGCTCCCTTGTAATCAAATGCAATATATTTATGGCTTTAATAACTATCAATGTTGAAAGAGTTAAATTGCTTCCCACTGTTGTTATAATAGACTGAAGTGTTGATGTCCTTGTTGTTACTTCATCCATTCTCCCTAAGACTTTTAACTCCTTACTTGTATTTCCATCTATCACCACTAGTGTCACTACATTCACTCTCTCTTCCTACTAACATTGAAACTTAGCTTACTGTCCTAGAGTTCCTTCAACCCTAGGTTTCCTAACTTTTTTAATCTAATCTTTTCTCCTAACTTTTAAAAACATTTTCCACTGATTTATTCACAAAAGCCTTTACCACCAATTTTTAGAATATGTGATTGGGAAGTCCCCACCTGCTTCTGACTTCTTTACACACAGACTTGGCAAACGATCTTTTAGCCTAGTTTGAAATCTCTTTCCCCTCTTGGTGTAGGAATGTAACCAAGAATAACAGTCACCACTTTTAACTTTATTTTTCAGACAGATTGTCTAATAGGCAGTCTAATAGATTCCCAAAAACCCTACTCTTTTAAAGCCGTCTAGTGTACATCTTATTGTACAGTTCAATTTACACAATGCATCTCTTCCCAACAATGCAATAGGTATATGTTCTAATACCAGTATGTGTATTTTAATTTCTCTTAGATTTTTTATAGCAGAGCTCAATTGGTTCCTTCAGAGTAATCAGCTGTTTTACTCCCTCAAATCCCTATCCTAATTAGTTAATTTTACATAGTGAGATGTTTAACCTCTTTAGGCTCAACACAGATAAAAGCTTTTCCACTATCACTTCTCCTAGTCCTTTTTCTTTTCACTTCAATTGTTAGATATTTTTCCTTCCTAATTGGTGCTACCAGCTGACACCCCCCTTCGGATCTTCTAGGCACTCTAGAATCCTTGCTCCTTTAAGGGTTCACCTGGAGGACAGGTGATCTACACTTGCTCCTTTATCTTCCTCAGAAATTCCCTCTGTTGTTTCCTCCTGGCGCATTGCACTCACAGGTAAAGTAACCAACCTGTCCACAATTATAACACACTTCTGAAAGTTGCTGGAAGTGTGGCTGAAACCTTCCTCCTCCTTCTAAGCCTTCTCGTCCTCTTCCTCTCCAATTCTGTGTCTGTCCAGAAACTGGCTGTGGATATGGAACAACTGGAACCGCTATTGGTGGCTGATACAATTGCGATTGGAACTGGTCCTGTTGAAGCTGTAGCAGTGATTGTTGATTTGGTTCACTCTGATTATTCATAACCAAAGCTTGTTTCTTCTCCTTATTCTCCACCAGTTGTATTTGATTGAGTTTTCTGAGAGTTTCTTGGTCCTGTTCTTTCTGGTTGTGTTCCTTTTTTCTGTACAAATCCACTTGATGGGCTATATGATCTGTATAGACGCCTTTTGTCATGCTTCCAAGTCCAACCACCTCTGCCAGTTTACTCCTTACTGGTGAGGGCAGTCCCATCTGCAATTTAGCTCTCAAAATTGACTGCTCAATTTGACTCACATCTGGATCATTTCCAGTAATATTTCTCCACACTTGATGGACTCTTGACACATAGGCTCTCGGATTTTCTTGTTGTCCTAGTGGGTCAATCAGAATATTATCAGGATGCACATTTGTTGGAAATGTATCTTTCAATGCTCTCCACAGACGATTCCTACTTGCAGCCAACAATTCAGGATCATTCACTGCAGTCCCCACATATCTATTCAGTCCCGCTCTCTGAAAAATTTATCCAGGAGATTAGCAAAAAGTCTCTTAATATCTCCTATAGCAGACTGTGTTCCCACTGTAATTTCTTCCAATTTTGAAATCCAAGGATAGGCTCCATCTTGAAGAGTAGGCAACTTCTCAAGTATATCTGACATATCGGTACTTTGCAAAGGCTTATATTCTAAGTTTCGACCTCGAATGATCACCGGCATAATTTTCTTACTAGTGCCCTCTTTCCTTGGCCTCAATGTATATTTCTTCTCAGATCATTGGGATTCTTTTCTCAGCAGCTTCTTTTTCTTTATCTTCAGCTTCTTGAGTTGTTCCAGTTCTTTTACTTCTTCTAAACTAGTCGCTTTATCCAGGCATGAGAAGCATCGGTCTATATCTCTTTCTATTTCTTCTGTGCTAGTCATTGCTGGATAAAATCCTCTTGAATATGAAGCACCCTTACTCTCCCACTCTTTATCGCTGTCTTCATCTTCGCTTTTATCAGAACTCAAATCTCTTGTTGTCTTCTTCAAACATCCATCACCCCTTCTTTCCTCTCTTGCCAACCTCCGTCTGATCACAGGGTCATATCCACCCATGATTTCTTCTGAATCACTCTGATCATCATCATCATCATCATCGTCGTCGTCTTCATCAAGTTCCATTCTCCTGAACCTCATTCTACCCTTAGTTTCCAGACATCTCGGTTTTTTCTTACTTCTGGAGTTTGGATTCATTTTTATGGTCGTTTCTGCTTGTCCTCTCTCTATTATTCGTTCATCTTCATCTCTGATGCAATAATCACCCTCCTGGATGATCACCGGAAGCTGAGGATAAACGTCGTTAAGCTCTACTTCTTTCTCATAAGGTGGGGATCTTTTTGCTGAATCCGTATGTGAGAAAGGTGTACTGACTTCTGCCATTAGTTTTTCTGTCGCCTTCTCTTCCTTTAGCATTTTCTCTATACCTTTGTTTATCTTATCGCTGGCATCTTTCATCAGTTTTTGTCCTTCATTCTCAAACAGCTTAAGAACACCCAGCTCTCTTTGTCTCTTTTCTTTACGTTGTTCCCCCTTTTTCCCTTTCTTTTGATCTGCTTTATGAATTGACAGAAACACTTTCATGATGTTGATGACGTCAGGGTTAAGAGTCCCTTCCACTGGCCATGGTTGTTCAATGTCAGGCCAACGTTTGTTCCATTTGCCAGATAACTTTGCAATCCCATTAACTAGAGGATTACTATTTTGTACTATATCAACAGGTGTAATTACCTTCATAGTCCTTATATCCTTTTTCCCCATTGTAACAACTCTTTTATATTCCTTTAATGTGAATTATTTCATTTTAGACTATATAGCCTATGGCTTCCTCCATTTAATTATTAACATATATATATATATTTTTTTATTAATCAATAAAAACATGAATATTCAAAAAGAATTAATTAAAACATTTTTTTTCTATTTTTTTTAAATTAAACAATTAATCAATAAATTTATGAATAATCACAAATATTTTTTTATTTATATTTCCTATTTTACTAATTTATCAATTAGTGGCTATCATACCCTTCTTGATTGAAGGTGGTATGTATAATATCTATAATCCAGCAACACTACAGTACTCATAAACCCCATTGCTTAATAAGCATCCAATTATCTCAATCTTACAGAATAATGTCAGTACTCGATTCCCAACAGTACTTGACTTTTGTCAAGTCTTTGTCAAATTGTCATAACATCAAATATCCTGTAGGGGAAGACTTTGTAAACAGAAGTCTGATTTTGACTCGATCCTCTGTCGCGTCACACCTTGTCACGTGATGTACACGTCAGCACCTCTCTTTCTCTCTCTCTCCTCGTTCCTCCTATCGTCCCTCATATGACAAAAGAACATAGAAACAGACAAGAATTTAAGTAGTTTATGCAGTCACTGAGTTACTTCAACCATTCAATATTCCTCCGTTCACATTCGCTCTAAGAATCAACTCAGGAATCGCATAAACAGCTCAATCTTTTTTTTATTTTGTTTACTTATTTAATTACTTTTATTTTTAATCCGTCAACATCTCTCTCATTTATCAATTCAATAGGTCTCATGAAAACAGTTTCATCTTCAAACAACAGCCGATGTAACAACCAGAACATTCCATTCGTGTTCAAATCTCTCTCTGTCTTTTGTTCCTTCGTCTGTGTCTCCCCCCTTGCACAGTGTAACAGAGGATTGACCTATTTACCCCTACGTCACTATAGTGTCGTAAAATCACACGTGTCGTAATCAAATGTCGTAAAATCACACGCATGCGCAGTACATTCATCACTACGATTCCACCGTGGAAGCAGCTCCAGACAACAGAACGTTAGCATTCTGCTATAGCTCCTCTCTTTTACCCTTTATAGACAAACAATAACACTTAACAGTTCACAAGATACCAGGCACCAAGCCCAAGCTAACTAAACACATTTCTGGTGGCTCGTCCCATTCCAATGGACCACCAAGGAAGAAATATTAATCATAACCCCGCATTAAAAATTGGCATGTAGCATGAATTAGCATTAGCATTAGCATGTAGCATGAAGCATAATTAGCAGGCCACGTTAGCATTTCTCCCTCCGCCGTGCCATAAAATTCCATTTGTTAGCTAAATTTGTGCTACCATGAGAACTGTGGAATCGACACGAGAGATTGCATCAAACAAGCCATTCGTCAACCGCCAGCTGAGGGGCAACATACATCATCAATATACCACGGTCTCAAGCCCATAGGACTCACCTAAAACACATCTAACGCGTTATAGGATTTCTGGCCCACCTTTAGGAGGTCGCCTGTCTACCAGGTCTTGTCCATGATTCACAGCGGCTCTAAGTTACATACACATCTGCCTAGGCATTCCTTATTCCTCTCTCAATCGATCGTTTTTTAACTCTCATTCAAGCCAAATATCTCTATAGACACTCTATAGATACTCTCTCCCCCCTTTTGCGCTGTCTACCAGTGCAAACAAGTTTAGAATGGTTAGGCCAGACCCCTTATAGTCAACAGCAATAAAAGCAACACAAAGCACACATCGGTCCCCAACGGTACATCTCTCCAGCGCACATACCCATAACCAGACGAACGAAACGCACACAAGACCGTGAGAAATCTCACCTTAGCCGGCGCCTTGAGCGAGAGTCACGTCGTTGCTCATGAATATAACACTGAAGAGACGCAGACCGTCCCTTTTCGTGACGCCATTTTGTAGTGTCGAGTTAAAGTGTTGCTAATAATGCTGTAACAAAGGAGTCCGCTTATACTGAACTTTGATCACAAGTTTTATTCATATCACAAGATTTCAGCATAAGTGTACAGGTGTCCAGATCATGGCCTCTCTAACGTTCTCTGTTCAAACCCAGTATTTATAATCTTCCCCAAAATATGGGTGGCTCCCTCTACTGTCCAATCCCCTGTCTTGTATGGGGCGTCACCCTAAAAACCATTCCCTTTGACACTAAATAAACATCCTCTCAGGTTCCACTTAAAACCTTAACTAAGTCATAATCTTAATACACTACAGCACATTTTTTTTCCCAGAGTTCCCTGTTGTCTTGAATACACCATCAGTTACGACTTCATATGAACTGGAAAGGATCATCTGTAGCCCCACCCAGTTGCCTTTCGTGTTATTGTTTTGGGCTAACATTAGCTAGCTAAGTAGCTAGCAATTGGAACAACGTACTTGGAGTAAACTTGAGTGTACCGTAGGCCTGAGCATGTATCAATTGAAGAGTCATCTGAATCCTGAGAGGAGAGATTCAGTAGAGGAATGCAGTGCTGAGGCAAAGGATGACTGGCTACTACTCTGAACTGTGTTCTGTGAGCTTTCTGGCGCTGCTGAGGCATCACCCAAGTGGGTGCATTACATTGTGAAGGAGGAAAATTCCAGTGGCTACACGACTCCATTTTCATCAGCCTGACCACCCTCTCCATCTTTTGAGGATGCATGCACTCAAAGACATGGCCTCCATTGGTTGACCTAGCTAGCTATAGCTAAGCTACTCATGATGAAGTATTGGTTGACCTAGCTAGCTATAGCTAAGCTACTCATGATGATGTATTGGTTGACCTAGCTGGCTATAGCTAAGCTACTCATGATGATGTATTGGTTGACCTAGCTAGCTACAGCTAAGCTACTCATGAGGATGTATTGCTTGTTTGTTTTTTGTTTTTGATTCTCTATAAGATTATAAGTGAAACAAGCAAGAGCAATGTGCGGGTTTCTTTTTTTCTTTCGATTGATATATTTGTTTTATTAAATGTCCTCTGGTCTGATGAAACAAAAATGGAACTGTTTGGCCATAATGACCATCGTTATGTTTGGAGGAAAAAGGGGGTTGCTTGCAAGCCGAAGAACACCATCCCAACCGTGAAGCACGGGGGGACTGGTCAACACCACAAAATAGATGGCTTCATGAGGAAGGAAAATTATGTGGATATATTGAAGCAACATCTCAAGACATCAGTCAGGAAGTTAAAGCTTGGTTGCCAATGGGTCTTCCAAATGGACAATGACCCCAAGCATACTTCCAAAGTTGTGGCAAAATGGCTTAAGGACAACAAAGTCAAGGTATTGGAGTGGCCATCACAAAGTCCTGACCTCAATCCTATAGAAAATGTGTGAGCAGAACTGAAAAAGCGTGTGCGAACAAGGAGGCCTACAAACCTGACTCAGTTACACCAGCTCTGTCAGGAGGAATGGGCCAAAATTCACCCAACTTATTGTGGGAAGCTTGTGGAAGGCTACCCGAAACATTTGACCCAAGTTAAACAATTTAAAGGCAATGCTACCAAATACTAATTGAGTGTATGTAAACGTCTGACCCACTGGGAATGCTGAAATAAATCATTCTCTCTACTATTATTCTGACATTTCACATTCTTAAATAAAGTGGTGATCCTAACTGACCTAAGACAGGGCATTTTTACTAGGACTAAATGTCAGGAATTGTGAAAAACTGAGTTTAAATGTATTTGGCTAAGGTGTATGTAAACTTCCAACTTCAACTGTATATATATTGTAAGGGTAGGCCTACAACTACTACTCTGTGAGTGAATAGAGCAGATGGTGTTAACAACTGTAGCAGATATATTTGCCTAGTGGCGGGTGCTGTTGACTTTTGGCCGCATGATAACTTTGTTTTTATTTACCATTCAGCTTATAAAATGAGAAATAACACAAACATACATTTTGGTAAGAAATGATGTGGTATTTTTGCTCCAACAGTAACGTTATACAATTCTATATTCAGTGATCTTGCGGCATTGATTCAACTTGACCAAACAAGCACCATTGTGAGAGGTGGCAGAGAGACGCGCCGGTGCACTCCGGGTAGCACTACACCCCCTGATTGGAACATCAAGCCAAAATCGTATGTTAGTGTGTTCTATTAAGGCATTTTCCTATGCGACAAAGAACATGTATCATGTGAAATGTAACTCTGTGTTTGAGATAATAATAATAATAATAATAATAACGTTATTTATTTAGCACTTTTCATTTCAAGTAACAAAGTGCCTCACATCATGGAGTTTATACAGTCTCTCTCTCTCTCTCTCCCCCTCCCTCCAGTTCAGTGATGACCTTCCCAGCCCCTCCCCTCTTCTCCCTTCCTCTCCTCCTTCTCCTTTTTCACCTGGACTCCGCGCACGCCTGTCGTACTGCCAGCCAATCCCAGTGTGACTCCGCCCCCTTCGTCCCCGGTCACAACCTGGCAGGGGAGGGATTTGACATGGTGACCCTGAAACGTAAAGGGGCCTACCTGATTGACCTGAAGACCTACCTGTCCCGCAGTAAATCCTGTACGCTGTGTCGTAACCCCCTACAGGGGAACGAGCTGCAGAAAATACCCCTGTCTGTTGTAGACTGGAGGCCCTACAGCCACTGTACTGAGGATATCTCCAGCCACTCTCATACCTCTGTCAGGTGAGTAGGATGGTTTCTGACTGCTTTGGAAAACTTTACAAAGTTTACTTAATGGACATTTTCTTTTTTGGATAGTAAAGATCTCTTCTCTCCTCTCCTCCAGTAACCTGGCACAGTCCATGACCAACGAGATCTCTACAAAATGGAAGCTTGGTTTGAGTAATGAGGCGAAGGTGTCCGTAAGCATACCTTTGGGGGTGGTGAGTGTGAGTGTGGAGAAGGAGGTGGGCGGGAGAATAGAGATGGGAGGGTCCCAGTCGGATGTAGCCATCTTTGCCACGACCAAGACCAAAGACGACAGCCACTCCTTCTTCTCACAGAATCTCCGCTGCCGCCACTACAGGTAATAATAATAATTATTATTATAATAATAATAATGATTTGTTTAACTTTCATAGCGCTTCCCTTACAGATAAAACACATGAATTTCACAGGTGATGTTATGTGATGTTAATGTGATAACGTGACAACATTTAAAAGCAACATGTGATAACATGAAACTACACATGTGAAAACACGATCTCATGTGAAACATTTTTAACAACATGGGGATGCAAAATGTCAACATGACAACATTCTAGCTAGACAAAAACCTCCAAGGGACCATGCAAAAACATCCCAAGAACGTCCTAAAAACGTCCTCGGGGACATCCCTGGAACAAACCGGGAACTAGACAGAAACCTCCAAGGGACCATGAAACTGCATCCCAAAAACATCCTAAAAACGTCGTCAGGGACATCCCTGGAACAAAACGGTAACTAGACACAAAAAAAGTCATCATTTCGAAAGCATTTTTTTTCCCCCCTAAATTTTAGTACTTTGTCAAACAACTACCGACATAAAAACCTCATGTATGATGATTTCTGTGTTAATATGGAGGAATGAAAAATAATCTATATGTTGTATACTAGTGGTGCATGGCTTAGCTAAGAATGTGGTCTCAATAGTAAAAAAAACTAAAAGATTGTGATAAAAGCACCAAATTTGGCACAGAGGTAGATGAGTATGTACTCTGAAAAGATACAGTTACGGAGCCAGCCCAGATTTGGCTCCTGGGAGGCGTGGCAGTCACGATAACAAAACAATTACAAATATTTAAATACCTATTTAGATTCCGGTTAATGTCCCCTATACGTAGTTGAGAGTCTCATCTTTCAGATCCAATTGGAACTGAGTTGATAGCCCATAGCGTTCCAAAGCTAGAGCTAAAAGTCTGACGGCACCGGCGTCCATGTCGTCTATAGCGCCCATATCAGTGGCTATCTTATAGGTCGTACCGGTACGTCAGATTAACACAGTTTCCTCAGCCTCTGAGTATCACAGCAACACAACAGTTTGAAGGAATAACATAAACATTTTCATGGCAAGATGCTATGGATCAAAATAATGTATTTTTAAACATCGACTTTGACTATAAATGTGTGAAAAGTTTTCAACTCTTTGGGGAATTTAAACCACTTACTTGTGTTACAAAAGGTTCATAATAAAAAGTGTTACTGTTTGACAGAAATGTATTTTTGCTATAATTTCCCATTTGGGGTCAACACTGACACCTGTTGGTGCTTTAGAGGTTGAAATACAGGTAACTGCTCAAATAAAGGAACCACATGAGTAAATGAGGGATACAAAGTATATTGAAAGCAGGTGCTTCAACACAGGTGTGGTTCCTGAGAAATTCCTAAGCAACTAAAATCACAGCATGCGTAGGGTCATGTATAAAATAGCTGGGCAGGCCCAGTTGCCCCATTATTTTATCTACCATGGCCCACATAGGATGATAATGCCCCCATCCACAGTCGTCACTGAATGGTTTGATTAGCATATTTTTTACTGAACTGTGAATGAAAACATAATTTTCCAGAACATTCTGGGAACGATTGCTATAGGTTGGAGGAAGTGATTGGCTTGCTCTGAAAAGTCAGTGCTAATAACCCTGCTATGGAACATGACCAGCTAGCCCTGGGCCAAGGTTGGCATGTGTTAGTAGCTGCTTAACCCCAGGCTTAAATGTCTCTTAGCCCATGCAGGTCTAAGTGCAGTGTGAACACAGCTAGAAAGGATCAAAAAGTACAGCAAGTGGGTCAATTTAAACAAATACAAATACAATCCTTCTTTCCATTCCACGCAGAAGGAAGTCTTTGGACTGTTATGTTGTAGGGAGCTCATTCCAGGGTTGGCTTGCTGGAGAAACTAAAGTATTTCTGATTTAAAGCTTTAAATCAGTATTTTTTTTTATGTCAATGGCATGTATCACCTTGTTTTAAAAATATGAATATATATGTTGAAACCATACACTTTCTGCAAGAATCTCATCTGTCTATAATTAATTGTAAAATAATTAGGCGGGACTGGGCAGGGATGACATTCTCTACTTTTAAATCAACAATCTTTTTTACCACTAATTGGTCTTTTGACTAATCAGATCAGCGTTTCAATAATTGGGCAAAAGATCAGAATTGGTGTGCCTGTGTAAACGCAGCCATAGTGTCACAGGTACATTGTCAGTGTGTCCCCGGCCCAGAATGGGCTTTACCCATAACATTCAACACTGGCAGTTATTAAACAGGTCATACACATGTATGAGTTTCATGCAATACACAGAACACTAGAAATCATGTGTATTACAGAAAAGGACAACTACGCAGTCAGTATCTATAATACATCTCTGCATTTTGCAAAAGAGTGCCATCTGCACTGCTATTTTAGTTATCAGTTAATCTGACTTGTCACGCCCTGATCGAGAGAACTCTTGTTGGTTGGGTCAGGGTGTGAGTTTCTGTTGAATTCAATGTTATTGTATTTCTAGGTTGTAGATCTAGTTTGAGATTTCTATGTTTGGCCGGGTGTGATTCCCAATCAGAGGCAGCTGTCGCTCGTTGTCTCTGATTGGGGTTTATACGTAGGTGGCCTGGTTGCCTACCTTAGTTGTGGGATCTTGACTCGTGTTTGGCTTATTAGTGTGAAGCCATTGTTTGAGCTTCACGTTACGTTGCTTTTGTTGTTTTGGTCAAGTGTTTATCGTCTTTAATAAACATGTACGCATACCACGCTGCACCTTGGTCTGACCCGTCTCTCAACGATCGTGACATGACTATTCTCTCATCATTGATTTCATTGACTTATTTCAGCAACTTGAGGGTTTTCTGTATAGTTGTATAATTTTGGTGTGTCTGTTTTAATATTACTACTGAATCACTATGATAAATATAATAGTTTTTCTTGAATGTATTTTTAACAAAGTGTAGGAATACTGGTAAAATCAGTCATTGACACAGACATGGTGGCGTAGTAGGAAGATTGGAATGCCGTGAACCAAGAGGTTGTGAGTTCAAATCCCAGGTGAGGAAATGCTGAATAATAATGACTGTTAAATAAACAGACACAATGTAGTCAAAGTGTGTCAAATATGTAAGTTGAAAACGCTATGTTAAAAGCACTGTGTGTATCCCAACGACAAACAGGGTATCACATTTGAAAATTTGAATCCACATGTGAAACGTGACGTGATCACATGTAAAAATCCACATGTGAAATATCATCACGTAAAGTGTTCCAAAAACACATGGTTTCACATGTGCAAATCGTGGAATTTTCCAATGTGAAATCATGTGTTTTTTCCGTAAGGGTTTTCATTTCATAAAGGCTTTGTTCACACAGTCACCCCAGTTCCGATGTATTAGCATATCTAATACATATATGATATTTTCCCCAATGTGTGAACAGCAACATTGGAATCTGATCTTTTGAGTTCCGATTTGAAACACATTCAAGCTGAAGTGGATTTTTCGCATGAACCTGTTGTTACCGCGGCACCCACCAAAATGTTGTAAGGACCATTGCTTCTGTGTGCTGTATGCTGGGAAAGGGTAAACCGATTGTAGATTAAGGTCATCTCTGTGTCGTATTTTAATTCACATCTGATATGCTAATTCCTGTGTTCCAGTTATCGCACGCCAAACATTCCTACTCTCAGTGATGAGTTCCGTAAAGACATCAATCTTCTGCGCTCGTACTCTAAGACCACCAAGGCCCAGTACCGCCGGCTCATAGACACCTACGGGACTCACTACATCCGCCAGGTTGACCTGGGAGGCCGGCTGACAAGGACCACAGCAATACACACCTGTCAGGCCTCACGCAGTGGCCTCTCTACAAAGCAGGTGACTTACTTAGTCTCAATGCTTGCTGTAATAGAGGACATTTTCTACAGGAATTCAAAAAGCAAACTGTAACCATTACATACCACCAGAGGCATATACTGTTAGAGCAGGGCTCTCCAACACTGTTCCTGGAGAGATACCCTCCTGTAGGTTTACATATATCTAGTCCAGGGCTCTCCAACCATGTTCCTGGAGAGATACCCTCCTGTAGATTTATAACTATCTAGTCCAGGGCTCTCCAACCATGTTCCTGGAGAGATACCCTCCTGTAGGTTTACATATATCTAGTCCAGGGCTCTCCAACCCTGTTCCTGGAGAGATACCCTCCTGTAGGTTTACATATATCTAGTCCAGGGCTCTCCAACCCTGTTCCTGGAGAGATACCCTCCTGTAGGTTTACATATATCTAGTCCAGGGCTCTCCAACCATGTTCCTGGAGAGATACCCTCCTGTAGGTTTACATATATCTAGTCCAGGGCTCTCCAACCCTGTTCCTGGAGAGATACCCTCCTGTAGGTTTAAATCTATCTAGTCCAGGGCTCTCCAACCCTGTCCTGGATAACTATCCTCCTGTAGGTTTACATATATCTAGTCCAGGGCTCTCCAACCATGTTCCTGGAGAGATACCCTCCTGTAGGTTTACATATATCTAGTCCAGGGCTCTCCAACCCTGTTCCTGGAGAGATACCCTCCTGTAGGTTTAAATCTATCTAGTCCAGGGCTCTCCAACCCTGTCCTGGATAACTATCCTCCTATAGGTTATTCGCTCCAACGCCAGTTGAAACTAACCTGATTCAGCTAATTATTGGAATCAGGTGCACTAGATTACAGCAAAAACCTTCAGCACAACAATGTATTTTATCTATTTCTAAACGTTTAGTTACATTCAGAAAATTCCATTGATTAATATTGCCCATGTAGTAAATGCATCACAGTATTTTAGGTAGAAACCTTAAAGACCAAACTCTCTGAATACATGGCTCTATGTACCACCTCTCCCCTCCTCTCAGGTGGAGTCCTGCTTGTCGACAGGTTTTAAGGGGAGCCTTGGGTTTTCAGTTTCCTCTAGCGGTGAAAGCTGCTCCAAAGTTCTGGACAACCGTGACTCGAAGACCTCCTACAGCTCTAGCTTCCTCAGCCACCACACCAAGGTGGTGGGAGGCTCTGGTTGGCCGGGGGAGCTGTCACTCAACCGTAATGACTCAGTGGGGTACCATAGTTGGATGAGTACCTTGAAGAACTTCCCGGACGTCATCTACTATTCTCTGACGCCTCTGCACCTGCTCATACCCGACATGGCTGTCCAGGAGGGACTGAAGGTAGCCTTTGTTTGTTAATATATTTCCCTCAAATTAAAATCCGGACCTTTAAGCCAGTTCCACAGCTTTTTTTATTTATTGCCCTCTAATCAGGGACTGATTTAGACCTGGGACAACAGGTGGGTGAAATAATTTTCAGGCAGGGGTACTCAAATACTATTTGAGAAGGTCCAGACACATACATTTTTCTAGGTTGCAAAGGTCTGGCTGGATATTGTCATTTATCAGCGTAGTAACAATCCCCCACCCATACGACCCCAAACTGCTCACACCCCTGTTGTTGGGTAATATACCATACGACCCCAAACTGCTCACACCCCTGTTGTTGGCAGAGAGAACATTTTGGCACTTTTAAAGCTAATTTCCTGCAATCCTACACATCTTGCCACATCTTATGTGTGTTCATATAATACCTGTGACTCAACCAAATCAATGGGGGTTGAGGAATAAATACACAATGAGTAACGATAATGATATACACTATACAGGGGGTATGTCACGATCGCCAATAAAGTAGGACCAAAGCGCAGCGTTGGGAGTGAACATGATGACTTTAATGTTGAAATAACGACAAAACAAAACACGATCCGTAACGTCCTCAGTACACCGACTGAACATAGAACAAAAACCCACAACCACAAGGTGAACACAGACATTTAAATATGGCTCCCAATCAGAGATAACGAGCCGACAGCTGACACTCGTTACCTCCGATTGGGAGTCACTGACCAAACATAGAACGCGAACACCTAGACACTACCCACAGTACACAACACACGGAAATCTACACACCCTGACTAAACACAAAAAGTCCTAGAACCAGAGTGTGACAGTACCCCCCCCCCAAAGGCGCGGACTGCGACCGCGCCTAACTACAAGCAAACAGGGGAGGGCTGGGTGGGCATTCCTCCTCGGCGGCGGCTCCGGCTCCGGGCTTCCTCCCCACTTCCTCTCCAACCCCCCAAAGTACCCCTGGGCCTGTCTAGCCCCGCTGGCCGGAACCGGACTGACGACACGCGCCCCTGGCTTGGTGCGTGGATCCTGGCTGGACGGCTCTGGCGGATCCCGGCTGGACGGCTCTGGCGGATCCCGGCTGGACGGCTCTGGCGGATCCCGGCTGGACGGCTCTGGCGGATCCCGGCTGGACGGCTCTGGCGGATCCCGGCTGGACGGCTCTGGCGGATCCCGGCTGGAAGGCTCTGGCGGATCCCGGCTGGACGGCTCTGGCGGATCCCGGCTGGACGGCTCTGGCGGATCCCGGCTGGACGGCTCTGGCGGATCCCGGCTGGACGGCTCTGGCGGATCCCGGCTGGACGGCTCTGGCGGATCCTGGCTGGACGGCTCATGGCTGGCTGACGGATCTGGCTGCTCATGGCTGGCTGACGGATCTGGCTGCTCATGGATGGCTGACGGATCTGGCTGCTCATGGCTGGCTGACGGATCTGGCTGCTCATGGCTGGCGGAAGGATCTGGCTGCTCATGGCTGGCGGAAGGCTCTGGCTGATCCTGTCTGGCGGACGGCTCTGGCTGATCCTGTCTGCCGGACGGCTCTGGCTGGACAGGGCTGACGACGCACCCCGTAGGCTTGGTGCGTTGAGCAGGAACAGACAGAACCGCACTGGGGACACACACCCCTGGCCCTACACGGGGATCAGGAACGGGCCGGACCGGACTGGAAACACCCCCCAGTACCTCTCGCCGTGCCTCCACACTTTCCATCCCCTTCGTAACCAGTGGCCCCCTTAAACTGGCGGCCATCTCTGCCAACCTCTTGCACTCCTCCGGGCCGTACACCTTCTGCCCCGACGTCGTGAGCCCCCCCCTAAAAATTTTCTGGGGGTCTCTCCTCTCGGTGGACCAGGCCTCCATAGTCCTCTCCCAACCTTCGCTCTTCTGGCTCCACCACTCGTATTCCAACTGCTGCTTGGTCTCGTTGTGGTGGGTTTTTCTGTCACGATCGCCAAATAAAGTAGGACCAAAGCGCAGCGTTGGGAGTGAACATGATGACTTTAATGTTGAAATAACGACAAAACAAAACACGATCCGTAACGTCCTCAGTACACCGACTGAACATAGAACAAAAACCCACAACCACAAGGTGAACACAGACATTTAAATATGGCTCCCAATCAGAGATAACGAGCCGACAGCTGACACTCGTTACCTCCGATTGGGAGTCACTGACCAAACATAGAACGCGAACACCTAGACACTACCCACAGTACACAACACACGGAAATCTACACACCCTGACTAAACACAAAAAGTCCTAGAACCAGAGTGTGACAGGGTACCAGTACAGAGTCGATGTGCAGGGGTATGAAGTAATTGAAGTTGATATGTACATATAGGTAACTAGGCAACAGGATGGACAATACATAATAAACACAGCGTGTGTGATGAGTGTGTTAAGTGTGTGTGTGTAGCAACAGTATGCCTGTGTGTACGTGTTATGTGTGTGTGTGTGTGTGTGACTGTGTGATTGTGTGCATAGAGTCAAAAGAGCTAGTGCAGAAAGGGTCAATGCAGATGGTCCAGGTAGCTATTTGGTTAACTATTTAACAGTCTTATGACGTCGGGGTATAAGCTGTTCAGGGTCCTGTTGGTTCCAGACCTGATGCATCGGTACCGCTTGCCATGTGGTAGCAGAGTGAACAGTCTATGGCTTGGGTGGCTAGAGTCTTTGGAAAAATGTTAGGGCCTCCCTCTGACACTGGCTGGTATGGAGGTCCTGGATGGCAGGGAGCTTGGCCCCAGTGATGTACTGGTCCATACCCACTACCCTCTGTCAGCGGTTTGCGGTCGGAGGCCGAGCAGTTGCCATACAAAGTGGTGATGCAGCCAGTCAAGATGCTCTCAATGGAGCAGCTGTAGAACTTTTTGAAGATCTGAGGCCAAATCTTTTCAGCCTCCTGAGGGGGAAGAGGCGTTGTCGTGCCTCTTCACGACTGTGTTGGTGTGTGTGGACCATGTTAATTCCTTGGTGATGTGGACAGAGGAACTTGAAGCTCTCGACCAGTTCCACTACAGCCCCATCGATATGTGGACGGGGGCGTGCTCAGCCCTCCATTTCCTATAGTCCACGATCAGCACTTTTGTCTTGCTGACCTTGAGGGAGAGGTTGTTCTCCCGGTACTACACTGCCAGGTCTCCTCCCTATAGTTTCATCTTCGTTTGTGATCAAGCCTACCACCATCCATCATGCCTACAAACTATTTATATATACACTACCATTCAAAAGTTTGGGGTCACTTAGAAATGTCCTTGTTTTTGAAAGAAAAGCAATTTTTTGTCCATTAAAATAACATCAAAATGATCAGAAATACAGTGTAGACATTGTTAATGTTGTAAATGGCTATTGTAGCTGGAAACGGCTGATTGTTTTTATGGAATATCTACATAGGCGTACAGAGGCCCATTATCAGCAACCATCAGTCCTGTGTTCCAATGGCACGTTGTGTTTGCTAATCCAAGTTGATCATTTTAAAAGGCTAATTGATCACTAGAAAACCCTTTTGCAATTATGTTAGCACAGCTGAAAACTGTTGTACTGATTAAAGAAGCAATAAAACTGGCCTTCTTGAGACGAGTTGAGTATCTGGAGCATCAGCAATTGTGGGTTCGATTACAGGCTCAAAATGGCCAGAAACAAATAACTTTCTTCTAAAACTCGTCAGTCTATTCTTGTTCTGAGAAATGAAGGCTATTCCATGCGAGAAATTGCCAAGAAACTGAAGATCTCGTACAACGCTGTGTACTACTCCCTTCACAGAACAGCGCAAACTGTCTCTAACCAGAATAGAAAGAGGAGTGGGAGGCCCCGGTGCACAACTGGGTCAAGAGGACAAGTGACAGTGACAGCATGGAATTCAAATGAGGAAATGGAGAGAAGGAGAAAATATAAAGTTTTCCACTCAGGAGAAATGAGTAACCCTGTGCCACCACCGAGAGAAAACATAGTCAGATGAAGAGCGTTCTTCGGGGGGTGATCCATGTCTCCGTCAGGGCCAAAAGGTCAAGGGACTACAGGGCAGCATAGGCTGAGATGAACTCAGTGTTCTTGACCGCGGATCGGCAGTTCCCAGCGCTGCCAGAGACCCGGAATTCCACATGGGTTGTGCACGCAGGGTACAATAAATTAGAAGGGTTGCAGCCAAGGGGTGGGAAGCGTCTGTAAAGCCTACAGGGAGAGGAGCCAACAGAAAACACACCCATAGTTGCCCAAGCTACAAAAGAGCAAAAATTAGATCATCAGAAAAGAAATAGGTAAGATACTCAAGTGAGAGAGAGAGAGCCTTCCTCTGTTTCCTTCATTGAGGGATAATGATGATTTAAATGATTTCGATGTCCAGATTCGTCTACACTTGTAGGGTTGCCAGGCACAATGTGGCTGACTATCAGATCACAATGCATCTTTTAATGGTCTACACCTGTCTAAATATGTGGGCAGGATCAGGATGTTAGAACCAGGTATAAACAGGGTTTATGATAGCTGGTTAGCCTAACTTACCTACCTAGCTAACATGGGCCAGTAGGTTAAGATATGTACATGTACATGATTCACATCAAGGCTATTATATTCTATTACATTCTATTGTTATTGGTCAGAGATTCCAAAGAGTTTGAACTCTGGAGAATAAAACCCAGAAGTTTGACGTAACCTGATGAAAGTAGTTTGTTATATAATTCTATTAACTCAGGTGGGTATGTTTATTGGAGATTCTTGTCACAGGATGCATAAATAAAACCTAAAATCGGGATCTTAGGTTATATGTTATATATCAATTAATATGTTAACATTTTGTTCGAAATACAAAGGAGGCTGTCCGGGAGTACCTGAAGGAGAATGCCCTCACCAGGGAACTGCCCTGTGGGGACCGTTACTCTAAACTGGACTCAAACTGCTGCCTCAAGGAGGTCTCGAAGGGAAGACTGGTGGTGACGGTGGTCAGAGCCTGGGGACTGTTGGGAGACCACCAATGAATAGCGGGAGACACTGAAGCGTAAGTTATGTTACTGCACAATTTCAGTCCTCTGCAAGGTGTAGTGGAGGGTAAACACATGTAAACTCTTCAGTCCTCTGCAGAGGTGTAGTGGAGGGTAAACACATGTAAACTGTTCAGTCCTCTGCAGAGGTGTAGTGGAGGGTAAACACATGTAAACTGTTCAGTCCTCTGCAGAGGTGTAGTGGAGGGTAAACACATGTAAACTGTTCAGTCCTCTGCAGAGGAGTAGTGGAGGGTAAACACATGTAAACTGTTCAGTCCTCTGCAGAGGTGTAGTGGAGGGTAAACACATGTAAACTGAGGAGCCTCTTAAATAAGAAGTTACAGGTCTGTGAGAGCCAGAAATATTGCTTGTTTGTAGGTGACCAAATACTTATTTTCCACCATAATTTGCAAATCAATTCATTAAAAATCCTACAATGTGATTTTCAGGATTTTTTTTCTCAATTTGTCTGTCACAGTTGACGTGTACGTATGATTAAAATTACAGGCCTCTCTCATCTTTTTAAGTGGGAGAACTTGCACAATTGGTGGCTGACTAAATACTTTTTTTCCCCACAGTATGAATGTATATATATATATATATATATATATATATAAACATGGGGGATTGGAAGTGATGCAGACAATTACATTGATGGAAGTTAGAATCTATCTGCAATATTAAAGCTGATCTACCCCCTATAAAAAAAATATAAAAAAAAGACATGATCAGTCTATAATTTTAATGGTAGGTTTATTTGAACAGTGAGAGACAGAATAACAACAAAAATCCAGAAAAACGCATGTCAAAAATGTTATAAATTGATTTGCATTTTAATGAGGGAAATAAGTATTTGTCCACTCTGCAAAACATGACTTAGTACTTGGTGGCAAAACCCTTGTTGGCAATCACAGAGGTCAGACGTTTCTTGTAGTTGGCCACCAGGTTTGCACACATCTCCGGAGGGATTTTGTTCCACTCCTCTTTGCAGATCTTCTCCAAGTCATTAAGGTTTCGAGGCTGACGTTTGGCAACTCGAACCTTCAGCTCCCTCCACAGATTTCTATGGGATTAAGGTCTGGAGACTGGCTAGGCCACTCCAGGACCTTAATGTGCTTCTTCTTGAGCCACTCTTTTGTTGCCTTGGCAGTGTGTTTTGGGTCATTGTCATGCTGGAATACCCATCCACAACCCATTTTCAATGCCCTGGCTGAGGGAAGGAGGTTCTCACCCAAGATTTGACGGTACATGACCCCGTCCATCGTCCCTTTGATGCAGTGAAGTTGTCCTGTCCCCTTAGCAGAAAAACACCCCCAAAGCATAATGTTTCCACCTCCATGTTTGACGGTGGGGATGGTGTTCTTGGGGTCATAGGCAGCATTCCTCCTCCTCCAAACACAGCGAGTTGAGTTGATGCCAAAAAGCTCGATTTTGGTCTCATCTGACCACAACACTTTCACCCAGTTCTCCTCTGAATCATTCAGATGTTAATTGGCAAACTTCAGACGGCCCTGTATATGTGCTTTCTTGAGCAGGGGGACCTTGCGGGCGCTGCAGGATTTCAGTCCTTCACGGCGTAGTGTGTTACCAATTGTTTTCTTGGTGAATATGGTCCCAGCTGCCTTGAGATCATTGACAAGATCATCCCGTGTAGTTCTGGGCTGATTCCTCACCGTTCTCATGATCATTGCAACTCCACGAGGTGAGATCTTGCATGGAGCCCCAGGCCGAAGGAGATTGACAGTTATTTTGTGTTTCTTCCATTTGCGAATAATAGCACCAACTGTTGTCACCTTCTCACCAAGCTGCTTGGCGATGATCTTGTAGCCCATTCCAGCCTTGTGTAGGTCTACAATCTTGTCCCTGACATCCTTGGAGAGCTCTTTGGTCTTGGCCATGGTGGAGAGTTTGGAATCTGATTGATTGATTGCTTCTGTGGACAGGTGTCTTTTATACAGGTAACAAACTGAGATTAGGAGCACTCCCTTTAAGAGTGTGCTCCTAATCTCAGCTCATTACGTGTATAAAAGACACCTGGGAGCCAGAAATCTTTCTGATTGAGAGGGGGTCAAATACTTATTACCCTCATTAAAATGCAAAACAATTTATAACATTTTTGACATGTGTTTTTCTGGATTTTTGTTGTTGTTATTCTCTCTCTCACTGTTCAAATAAACCTACCATTAAAATTATAGACTGATCATTTCTTTGTCAGTGGGCAAACGTACAAAATCAGCAGGGGATCAAATACTTTTTTCCCTCACTGTATGAATTGGATTTGTAACATATCATACAAAATGGATAACGTAGTACACAATTTGATGACGTAGTATTTAATTTGATGACGTAGTATACAAAAAACACTTTCGGCTCGTGAGCGCCACTACTTGCTGAAATTATACAAAAGATTGAGAGTGTATTTTTAAGACATTGTCTCAAATCTAGGTTTTGCCTTTAGAGTTTGAGAAAATTAACAACTTAGGGACAATTTTTTTCACTTCTCCCATTGACAAACCCCAAACACCTGTCTGGTCTGTAGAGTCTGCTTTGTGAGGCGTTCACGGAAGTATGAGCCTGTTGAGCATCTGGGTTTGAAAACTCAGTTGTTTTACTTTCTCAATAGTGTTTTCGGGGCAGATCTCCTCAAGGGACAGAATTCATTTGAATGGCTTTTGAAAGGTTGGGAGGAGCTAACTTTTTTCAATAGAAGTGATGGAGGCTGGAGCACAGACCAGAATGTGCAGTTAGCTATATAGAACCCCTTCCCAATGAGCACAAACAAAAATATGTATTTTCAATGTCTTTTGCTCACGTCTGGGGGGGCTGAGGAGATGGTTGGGAAACCGTCCTAGGACATACAGATTATAAGGTAAGATCGCCCTCTTGTGGCACGCCATAGTATTTACCTGAAGGTATTTTTGTATTATTATTATTATTATATATATTTTAGCCCCTTTTTCTCCCCAATTGCGATCTTGTGTCATCGCTGCAACTCCCCAACAGGCTCAGGAGAGGCAAAGGTCGAGTCATGCGTCCTCTGAAACATGACCCGCCAAACCGCGCACCTTAACACCCGCCCGCTTAACCCGGAAGTCAGCCGTACGTATGTGTCGGAGGAAACACCGTTCAACTGACGATTCAAGTCAGCCTGCAGGTGCCCTCCTCCCAACAGCCATTCAGGTGCCCGGCCCGCCACAAGGAGTCGCTAGAGCGCGATGAGCCAAGTAAAGCCACTCCCGGCCAAACCCTCCCCTAACTGGACGACGCTGGGCCAATTGTGCACCACACGACTGGTTGTGACACAGCCTGGGATCGAACCCGGGTCTGTAGTGATGCCTCAAGATGCAGTGACTTAGACCGCTGCGCCACTTGGTAGGCCCTAAAAGTTGCTCATAAGTTTGGATGTAACCACTGTGAAAATGTAAGATAAATAGCAAACTATACTAATCTTGATGCTCAAACAAGCGTAATAGCTACCCTCCTGTAGGTTTTTGCTCCAACCCCAGGTGTTACTACCCTGATTCATTTGATCAACCTGCTAATTATTAGAATCAGGTGCTAAAACCTCCAGGACGGTAGCTCTCCAGGAACAGGGTTGGAGTTAAAACCTACAGGACGGTAGCTCTCCAGGAACAGGGTTGGAGTTAAAACCTACAGGACGGTAGCTCTCCAGGAACAGGGTTGGAGTTAAAACCTCCAGGACGGTAGCTCTCCAGGAACAGGGTTGGAGTATAAACCTCCAGGACGGTAGCTCTCCAGGAACAGGGTTGGAGTTAAAACCTCCAGGACGGTAGCTCTCCAGGAACAGGGTTGGAGTTAAAACCTCCAGGACGGTAGCTCTCCAGGAACAGGGTTGGGCAGTCCTGCTCCATAGAGTGTACCACACTTATTCGGCTGACCCCATAGGAAAACCCTTTGAATAACCCTTTTTGGTTCCAGGTAGAACCCGTTTTGGTTCCAGGTAGAACTCTTTTGTGTAAAGGGTTCTACATGGAACTCAAAATGGTTATACCTGGAACCAAAAATAGTTATTCAAAGGGTTTTCCTATGGGGACAGCCAAAGAACCCTTTATGTTCTAGATGGCACCTTTGTTTCTAAGAGTGTACTTTATACACTATACAGAGAATAGGGTGCCATTTGGGACACAAGCAATATGATGTCACACAAGCAATATGATGTCACACAAGCAATATGATGTCACACAAGCAATTTGTGCCAATTGGAGTAGTCCCTCTTTTCCCAACCCTCTCCTCGCCTTCCCCCAGGTTTGTTCAACTGGCACACGTGATTTCATTAGTCAAAGGCTTGATGATTAGTTGACTAATTTAATGAGGTGTGCCAGTTTAGGGTTAAAACATAAATGTGAAACCTAGGGGAGGGGCCAAGGAGATGGTTGGGAAACCCTGTCCTAGGGGCTACAGATTATAACATGTGTCAAACTCATTCCACGAAGAGAAGAAGGGAAGAGAGACGAGAGAGAGAAAAAGAGAGAGAAACAAGAAGACAGAATGACTATCGTATTGTGATAAAAGTTGTTTCAACCTTTTACACCAACATGTGTCTGCAGGTTTTCCCTCCTCCCTTGTACTTGATTGATGAATTAAGGTCACTAATTAGTAAGGAAATCCCCTCACCTGGTTGTCTAGGTCACTAATTAGTAAGGAAATCCCCTCACCTGGTTGTCTAGGTCACTAATTAGTAAGGAAGTCCCCTCACCTGGTTATCTAGGTCACTAATTAGTATAGAAATCCCCTCACCGGGTTGTCTAGGTCACTAATTAGTAAGGAAATCCCCTCACCTGGTTGTCTAGGTCACTAATTAGTATGAAAATCCCCTCACCTGGTTGTCTAGGTCACTAATTAGTATGGAAATCCCCTCACCTAGTTGTCTGGGTCACTAATTAGTATGAAAATCCCCTCACCTGGTTGTCTAGGTCACTAATTAGTATGGAAATCCCCTCACCTGGTTGTCTAGGTCACTAATTAGTATGGAAATCCCCTCACCTGGTTGTCTAGGTCACTAAGTAGTAAGGAAATCCCCTCACCTGGTTGTCTAGGTCACTAATTAATTAGTAAGGAAATCCCCTCACCTGGTTGTCTAGGTCACTAATTAGTAAGGAAATCCCCTCGCCTGGTTGTCTAGGTCACTAATTAGAAAGGAAATCCCCTCTGCTGGTTGTCTAGGTCACTAATTAGTAAGGAACTCCCCTCCCCTGGTCTAGGTCTTAATTTAATAGAAATAACTCAAACCAGTATACAGTAGGACCTCCATGGAATGAGTTTGATCGCCCTCTTGTGGCACGCCATAGTATTTTAATCTTTCCATTTTGTTTCCAACTTCCTGTTTCTACACCTGCTACAGGTACGCTGTGGTCACCTACGGTTCCAAGTCCCATCAGACCAATGTTATTCCGTCCAACAATCCTGTCTGGAATGCTACCTTTGACATGGGTCCCTTCGACAAAGACCTGAGGCTAAAGGTGGAGGTCTGGGATGAAGATCCTGCGAAAGATGACAACCTGAGGCACTGTACCGTCAACCTCGAGCAGGGGACACATGAACGCTGGTGCAACAACAGCGGGGGAGAGGGCTTTTATTTCCTGTACACCCTCACCTGTGACCCCCACTTGACCGGGGACCAGTGTGAAAAATACAAACCTTCCAACGCCACAACATACAAACCTTCCACCCCCACAGTCCACTCTACTCCACTCTACAGTAAGAGTAAGCATCTCTTTTCTACCTTTTCTATCCAGAGTTCAGCGCTCCTATACCTATGGTTGTTTTCCATCTCTGTATAATGTACCCCCCAGAACACATGTTGGAGTAAATCCATTCCAGGCAGTGGGTCTGTTGCCTGTACAGCTCACCAGGAACCACGTTGGAAACAAGGGGAATCATTTCAATATGTGTGATGGAAAATGTTATGTTTGTGCTTTTCTAATAACCAATTCGACTGGGTTCATGCAAGTGACAGATTTTTAATACATGTTGATCTCTCCAAAGTTTATCGTGTGAAGAGACAGCCTTGAAAATGTTCATCTTGTCTTTAGGGTCGTAAATAATCCCTGGTTCCTGCCTGTGCTTGGTAAAGATATGAGGGGGGAAGACATGACCTCCTCCTTAGGACCATCTGGCAGAACACCCAGAATATGTTCTATAAGGTAAGATAGGAGACGGTGCCAGACACATGTAGGAACCAACCCTATGAAAAATGACCATGTAACTTGTCTATGTAAGGAGTATATAAGAGATCTAACGGGATCCCCGACGGAGCTTCATCACTTCAGACCAGTACTTTATGCATCTAAGTTTGGCTGTGACCTCTCCAGCTTGCTGTTATTAAAGAATGATTCATTTAAGATTGACTTCAGGTGTCCTTGGGGGTAATTTCCACGACAGTTTGGCGTCATGAAAAACATGATTGATATGATCTGCGGAGCTTTCCAGTGGGGGTCTGCGAGGAAAACCGGTGGCGCATTTTATGAAGTGAAATTCCTGTTTGACCAAAAGACGACGAGGCCCAGACCAGACCTTCACTGTGAGCTGCCCAGGAGGAGACACATCACACGCCAACTGATTTCAGTCATTCAATTTAAATGAATTTGTATTAAAAATAAATAAAAATAAATGATAAAACCAATTAAACTAAACATAAAAATGGAGAAGACGTATATGTGGTCTGGGACCCCTGTAGTCTGGACATATTCCCCCCCCCCCCCCCACATTCTTAAATTGTTGCATCCCTGAGTCTGGGACTACTAGGAGGGTCCCTGAGTCTGGGCCTACTAGGAGGGTCCCTGAGTCTGGGACTACTAGGAGGGTACCACTAGTCTGGGACTACTGGGAGGGTCCCTGAGTCTGGGCCTACTAGGAGGGTCCCTGAGTCTGGGACTACTAGGAGGGTCCCTGAGTCTAGGACTACTAGGAGGGTCCCTGAGTCTGGGACTACTAGGAGGGTCCCTGAGTCTGGGACTACTAGGAGGGTACCACTAGTCTTAGTCAAGTAATAGCATGAGGTGATTGTGGATGTGAGAGTTGGGTGAGTGTGGAAGGGGCCTAATAAGAGGATTGAAATTAGGATATTAGTTGATTGACATTTGGATATTAAGAGGAATTAAATTAGGATATTAGTTGATTGACATTTGGATATTAAGAGGAATTAAATTTGGATATTAGTTGATTGAAATTTGGATAATAAGAGGTTTGAAATGTGGATATTAGTTGATTGAAATTTGGATATTAAGAGGAATGAAATGTGGATATTAGTTTATTGAAATTTGGATAATAAGAGGTTTGAAATTTGGATATTAGTTGATTGAAATTTGGATATTAAGAGGAATGAAATGTGGATATTAGTTTATTGAAATTTGGATATTAAGAGGAATGAAATGTGGATATTAGTTGATTGAAATTTGGAAATTAAGAGGAATGAAATGTGGATATTAGTTGATTGAAATGTGGATATTAAGAGGAATGAAATGTGGATATTAGTTGATTGAAATTTGGATAATAAGAGATATCATTAGTGATAAGAGTGTTGAAATGTAGAGAATAAGAGATATTATTACTATGAACTACTGAGTGAATGAGAGAAAGTGCAGGTGTTATTCTATTTGTGTGCGGCAAGACTGTAGAATCTATAGACTATAGCATCTATGAGTACATAGACTACTGAGACCAGAGACACAGAGAAACTATAGATACGCCAGACTATAGATGTTATAGCATACAGTACCAGTCAAAAGTTTGGACACACCTACTCATTCAAGGGGTTTTCTTTATTTTTTACTATTTTCTACATTGTAGAATAATAGTGAAGACATCAAAACTATGAAATAACACATACAGAATCATGTACTTACCAAAAAAGTGTTAAACAAATCAAAATATATTTTATATTTGAGATTCTTCAAAGTAGCCACCCTTTGCCTTGATGACAGCTTTTCACACTCTTGGCATTCTCTCAACCAGCTTCATGAGGTAGTCACCTGGAATGCATTTCAATTAACAGGTGTGCCTTGTTAAAAGTTAATTTGTGGAATCTCTTTCCTTCTTAATTAGTTTGAGCCAATCAGTTGTGTTGTGACAAGATAGGGGTGGTATACAGAAGATAGCCCTATTTGTTAAAAGACCAAGTCCATATTATGGCAAGAACAGCTCAAATAAGCAAAGAGAAACAACAGTCCATCATTACTTTAAGACATGAAGGTCAGTCAACGTAGAACATTTCAAGAACTTTGAAAGTTTCTTCAAGTGTAGTCGCAAAAACCATCAAGCGCTGTGATGAAACTGGCTCTCATGAGGACCGCCACAGGAAAGGAAGACCCAGAGTTACCTCTGCTGCAGAGGATAAGTTCATTAGAGTTACCAGCCTCAGAAATTGCAGCCCAAATAAATGCTTCACAGAGTTCAAGTCACAGACACATCTCAATATCAACTGTTCAGAGGAGACAATGACATTACCTTCTTACTTAAATAATTTGTGTTACCCAAACTATAGAATTGATTAATATTAATTGAATAAGAGAAGTTTTTGACCATTTCCAATTATTATTACTCAATTCTATAGTTTGGGTAACACAAATTATTTAAGTAAGAAGGTAATGTCATCTAAAACAATCATCTATTTCCATTACGTGGAACTGAATCCAGAATTGAAACAGATCCAAGTAAAGGTTTTTAGTACCGAATATTGAGCTGATAAGCCAGCACCAACTTTTTGAAGGTCCTAGCAGATTTGTTAGGATGATGTTGTTCTCTTTCACGATGAGGGATGATGTTGTTCTCTTTCATGATAAGGGATGATGTTGTTCTATTTCATGATGAGGGATGATGTTGTTCTCTTTCATGATAAGGGATGATGTTGTTCTATTTCATGATGAGGGATGATGTTGTTCTCTTTCATGGTGAGGGATGATGTTCTATTTCATGATGAGGGATGATGTTGTTCTCTTTCATGATGAGGGATGATGTTGTTCTCCTTCATGATGAGGGATGATGTTGTTCTCTTTCATGATAAGGGATGATGTTGTTCTATTTCATGATGAGGGATGATGTTGTTCTCTTTCATGGTGAGGGAGGATGTTGTTCTCTTTCATGATGAGGGATGATGTTGTTCTCTTTCATGATGAGGGATGATGTTGTTCTCCTTCATGATGAGGGATGATGTTGTTCTCTTTCATGATGAGGGATGATGTTGTTCTCTTTCACGATGAGGGATGATGTTGTTCTCTTTCACGATGAGGGATGATGTTGTTCTCATTCATGATGAGGGATGATGTTGTTCTATTTCATGATGAGGGATGATGTTGTTCTATTTCATGATGAGGGATGATGTTGTTCTATTTCATGATAAGGGATGATGTTGTTCTATTTCATGATGAGGGATGATGTTGTTCTCTTTCATGGTGAGGGATGATGTTCTATTTCATGATGAGGGATGATGTTGTTCTCTTTCATGATGAGGGATGATGTTGTTCTCCTTCATGATGAGGGATGATGTTGATCTCTTTCATGATGAGGGATGATGTTCTCTTTCATGATGAGGGATGATGTTGTTCTCTTTCATGATGAGGGATGATGTTGTTCTATTTCATGATGAGGGATGATGTTGTTCTATTTCATGATGAGGGATGGTGTTGTTCTATTTCAAGATAAGGGATGATGTTGTTCTCTTTCATGATGATGGATGATGTTGTTCTCTTTCATGATGAGGGATGATGTTGTTCTCTTTCATGATGAGGGATGATGTTGTTCTCTTTCATGATGAGGGATGATGTTGTTCTCTTTCATGATAAGGGATGATGTTGTTCTATTTCATGATGAGGGATGATGTTGTTCTCTTTCATGATAAGGGATGATGTTGTTCTATTTCATGATGAGGGATGATGTTGTTCTCTTTCATGGTGAGGGATGATGTTCTATTTCATGATGAGGGATGATGTTGTTCTCTTTCATGATGAGGGATGATGTTGTTCTCCTTCATGATGAGGGATGATGTTGTTCTCTTTCATGATAAGGGATGAGGTTGTTCTATTTCATGATGAGGGATGATGTTGTTCTCTTTCATGGTGAGGGATGATGTTGTTCTCTTTCATGATGAGGGATGATGTTGTTCTCTTTCATGATGAGGGATGATGTTGTTCTCCTTCATGATGAGGGATGATGTTGTTGTCTTTCATGATGAGGGATGATGTTGTTCTCTTTCACGATGAGGGATGATGTTGTTCTCTTTCACGATGAGGGATGATGTTGTTCTCTTTCATGATGAGGGATGATGTTGTTCTATTTCATGATGAGGGATGATGTTGTTCTATTTCATGATGAGGGATGATGTTGTTCTATTTCATGATAAGGGATGATGTTGTTCTATTTCATGATGAGGGATGATGTTGTTCTCTTTCATGGTGAGGGATGATGTTATATTTCATGATGAGGGATGATGTTGTTCTCTTTCATGATGAGGGATGATGTTGTTCTCCTTCATGGTAGAGCACGGCGCTTGTAACGCCAAGGTAGTGGGTTCGATCCCCGGGACCACCCATACACAAAAAAAATGTATGCACGCATGACTTTAAGTCGCTTTGGATAAAAGCGTCTGCTAAATGGCATATTATTATTATTTATTATTATGAGGGATGATGTTGATCTCTTTCATGATGAGGGATGATGTTCTCTTTCATGATGAGGGATGATGTTGTTCTCTTTCATGATGAGGGATGATGTTGTTCTATTTCATGATGAGGGATGATGTTCTATTTCATGATGAGGGATGGTGTTGTTCTATTTCAAGATAAGGGATGATGTTGTTCTCTTTCATGATGATGGATGATGTGTTCTCTTTCATGGTGAGGGATGATGTTCTATTTCATGATGAGGGATGATGTTGTTCTCTTTCATGATGAGGGATGATGTTGTTCTCCTTCATGATGAGGGATGATGTTGAT